GTCTTCCCATAATGACAGTCTGGACACCCAGGTCTGAGAGAAGAAAATTCCCCACCACTGCACTTGCTCAATACTGCAATCACACTTTTACTAATATTACAGAACAAAAAACAAACCCGACACATACAGAGATTTTTTCTGACGTTTTGGTATGAATGAAAAACAGACAAATACAGGTTCACACCAATAATTGCTGCAGTGATGAGATCAGCGGTGTCATTTTACAGCCTTCACTTACACTACGCTAATTACATCTAATCTATTCAGCCATCAGTGCTACGAAGATGTATCCACATTTCCGTGTGATGGAAATAAAACAATGCATCATTTAAAATATAATGTGTAACTGCAGAATTCCATTGCATTCTGATTTACATTACATTACATTACATGTCATTTAGCTGACGCTTTTATCCAAAGCGACGTACAATAAGTGCATTCAACCATAGGGTACAAACTCAGGAGAACAAGAAACAAGAAAGTGCAATTTCCTCAAATAAGCCGATTTACAATTTGCTATACATGAGTGACGTTACAAGTACAATTTAAGTGCTACAATTTGTTAGTCGGGGTAGAGTAGAGAACAGTGAGGAAATAATACTTACAGTGTAATTGTTTAAGGCTTGTGTTTGAAAAAAAGTCTTCACTTGTAAACCCACCCCCAAAGAAAGTTAGTCTCCGTTCAGCACAGACGGTGAAATGTATTTTGTGAAAGGAAAAAGGCGAGTCCAACACGCACTTGATCAAACACTGATCTCCCCTTTCAATGCTACACAGCTACAATAGGAACCACAAACGTAAGCCTCTAACGAGACCACATCCCCCAAAGGACTCATCTCTACCGATGACACGTCTCTTCAATTTAGACTTTTTCCCCTTACTTTTAAGGAAATAAAAAAAAGAACAAGAAAAGCCAAATGAACAAATCTGAATTTTGAGTTTTTCCTTCTTTCTTTCTCTTTCTTTGAACCAACTTTAAGCGATGGTTCATTGGTGACAAGGATGATGGAGATGCTAAATAAAGAAATAGAGCAGGAAAAAAAATGTACTCACCTTTCTAGCTAAATATCCAGTGGACTACGGTCCAGTTATCCAGTAGTCCAGCTGTGCCTGTGAGCACCAAGCTCTTTGGGATGTATATATAGACTCTCTCTCCCTCCCTCCCTCCTGGTGTCTCTCTCATCACTCCCCCTTTGGAACTCCTCCATCCCGTTCCGGCATTCCTCAGAAACCCACTGAGAGGGATGAGGGGCCGGCACAGACACAGATAACATCCTGTTGTAGCAGTGTGGAAATAGGGTTGTCCTGCTACAGTTAACTGCGCCTGCCGACCACAAGGGCGGCGGTACTATATTACATTACATTACATTACATTACATGTCATTTAGCTGACGCTTTTATCCAAAGCGACGTACAATAAGTGCATTCAACCATAGGGCACAATATATAAAGGCTGCCCCCCTTCTCGCGCCCCACGGAGGCATCATTTCCGGTTCGGGTGTCTGTCTGCACAGAGTGGCGACAGAGTGCTCCGTGCCCCGTCCCCCTTTTTGCTCTTGGGTCCTCTCAACCGGTGGTAAGTGTTCTCCCTCTCCGTGTTAGACCGAACGATATTCTGTGGCTAACGTTATTGTGGTCACAGGTAGATGTCTTCCTGCCGTGTGGGTTTTTCTCTCCCCCCCTCTCCCTGTGCAGGTTTAACCTGGGAAACAGGTACTTGACTTTAAACTAGCTTCCAAGAGTCTTTGACATGTAGCTTGACAATACTAACCCTATGTTCATTGACAGGGAATGCTCATCAGCTGAATGAAATCCACCGGGGGTGATTTTATGTGACAACACTCAGTTGATTCGGGCCACTGCTGCTTTGCCTGCAACTTTGACTGCTGCTTTGCCTGCAACTTTGACTGCTGCTTTGCCTGCAACTGTGACTGCTGCTTTGCCTGCAACTGTGACTGCTGCTTTGCCTGCAACTGTGACTGCTGCTTTGCCTGCAACTGTGACTGCTGCTTTGCCTGCAACTGTGACTGCTGCTTTGCCTGCGACTGCTGCTTTGCTGAGTAGTTAATCGTTTATTTTGTTTGGGTTACGTGAATTGTTTGGGATTAGGATGATTTTTATGTGAATTATTTTCTTTTTCTGTTTTTTGTTGTAAATTTTTGGTTTAATCCTCTTGTAAACCTTCTGTTTTTTGTCATCCTTCCCAGCGGCTGTAGGCTGGTGGTGGCGCCGGTGGTGTGGGTGGTGGTGGTCTTCTTCGTGTGTCGTGTCCCATTGGATTGTTGTGCTATCACTGGGTGAACTCTGGTTTGGTTTTCTCTAAGTTTGTTCTATTAATTTTCCTTCCCCTTCACCGGCGCTTCTCACCATTAGGCCTTAGCGATTAGTTTTCTTTTCTTATTTTGTGAGAAATGTTAGATTTTACGGAAATGTATATTTATTGAATAAAAATGTTTTTGTAACCTGGGAACCACGAGCCCTTGCCTGTTGAGTGAAACGAACCCGCGTGCTTTAAAAGGTCCAATCCCAAGTGCTTGGGGCGTTGCCGGTAGAATAGGGAACCATTTCGCCACACTGTAAACACTCCCCACGCAGGGACACCATGCACCCTGGGAAAATGTTGAAAAATACAACGCTTTTTGTGCGTGTCTGTGCATGTGTGTGTGTGTGTTTGTGTGTGTGTCTGTTAGCGAGAGAAACACACAGACGAGGGGATTGAGAGGAAGAATCAAAAGGAGACCAATGGCAGCAGGGCTCAGTCGAGCGACCCACGAGCACAAAACCCCTCTTGTTGTAGCTCAAGGTTGCCATGGTGACTGAACTGGTTCCTCTAACTTCTGTGAGGCTTTGCATGCTGCAAAAACCATTTGGCTAGCTCTGTTAGAACGCTAAATATTTAAAATACATCATTGTACTTTTTAAGAAAAAGGTCTTTTGAGATAATTTGGTAAATGTTGAGGGATGACGATGGCCCCGCTGGGGGAAGTGCTCGGTCCGTCACAGTGCTGCTCAGTGAAAGACGGTCTGTGTCTTCCCAGGACACACCATGACAGTCGGAGCTCACTCATGGCCTTTGTGCTTAAAGCGGGCCGTGACACACGCGGCATCGATGTCACTGTCCTCCGTAGCGGATCCCAAAGAGGCGGGAACAGGAAGAGGAGGGAAGGATGTCTGCTGTGAAATTGGTACTCGTCAGCAGGGCACGGGTGGAGAGGTGGAGAGCTGCTTTCGCAGGGACCCAGCAGTACGTGGCGTGATGGGTGGCACAGGCCGACGCCGGGGAACACACGCTGCGTGAAACGCCCGAGTTGTGCTGGTTAACAAGACACGACTTTCTCTCGTGTTTGCAGAGAAGACCATCCGTCTGCGGACTAGGAGAGAGGCTCTGGCTCCAGCATCCATGGAAAAGTGTTGAACTTGGGGAAAGGTTTTGTGGTATTCAGACTCCCCAGGTGGAAACACAAGTGAAATATTTGAGATAATGACGGCCAGCTGAGGAAAGAGCTTGAGGGCATTAGGCTGTTTTTGTCTGTCTTTACTCAGCATGCACCCACTCGGCACGTTGGGGGAGCTGAAGTAATCTCCTGCTTTTTTAATGCATCAATTTATCAGGGTAGAGTTGGAACTATAAGATTGTTGTTTGATTGTGAGACATTGCCAGAGGCCACAAACAGCAGCTTGTCCGGGCCAAGATCATCACCCGTATAATATTTCTGCTTCCACTTTAATGGCAGGAAAAGCAGGTTTGTGTTCACACGGGCCTTGATTCAATTAAAACTGATGCAACTGGATAAAAACAAGTCAGCAGTGTTTGATAAAATGTAAGACGATACACTAGTGCAGGGTGTATGTGTAGATGTATTATGCACAATGTCAAAGCCAGCTCAATAGAGATCAATAACCCTCCATCACGACAAGAATCTGTGTGTGTTTACAATGAATGAGTAAGACTGTGGCCTCTTTTTCCTACTTGAAGTTGTGAATATTTCATGAATGCATTTATTCCTTTGCTGCCACAGCGTGAGATTTTATCATGGGGAACATTTGCAGGCATGTAAAATACTCCAGTCATTGTCAGCATCATTTAAACCGCCGCATGAACAATAATCTGTGTTCATAATCATCTAGATATGTATTTCATGATTATCTGGATGAAAGAATTGCATATTAAAAAAAAGGTGGAAGATTTATGTTGAGGGCTTTGTGATCAGGTCTCATTCAAGTGTAGCAGAAAACCACATTCTTAAGAAACAAAAATAATCCATCAAGATGAAAGGTCACCTCGATCCGCCTCATCTTGCGAGCGGAAAACAATTCCAGTAAAAGCTGCAAGACGTGACGTGAGTGATTCCGGGTGAAGAGTTGTTTTCGCTTCAGAACGTTCGTAACCGCGTTAAAAGACCCTGACGTATTTGAGTGACAGCTGTTATAACAGCTGGTCTAATTCCCGAAATGCCGGGCGAAGGTACTCAGTCCGGTTGAGAAGAATATGTTTTAACTCATCATCCACATTCAATAGATACTAAGTGCCAAAGTGCTGAAAAGTTAGATAAACAAGTTCAATTCTTGATTTAATAATGTCTACATAATTTAGATATTTAAGCTGCCAGTGTGTGCAAAGGAATCGGCTCAAACTCTTCACATCGAAACTTTTCCATCCGGGATTGTTTATGATGACGTAAAAAAACCTCAACGTCAGCATAAATTTGAGAAGACCGGTAGTTTGGGTGTGAAGGTGGTGTCTTCTCTCTGTGTAATGCCCCCCCGTCTACCCCTCTCCGGGTGTTTCCTGGTCACAGACAACATGGCGTCCGGTGACAGACTACAACATCACTGAGTACGAAAAAGTCCAGGGAGGGCAGGGACGCAGGAAAAGTCCTTCCATAATTCATTTCAAGGTTTCATAGAAATCTAAAGTGACTCTTGGCTGACTCTTATCGCTATCACTGATCCGAGCAGTGTGTTTCAATCGTGAATGATCCAAGAGACAAGAGACAGTATCACAAAAATGGCTTTTAATGACAAAACTGTTTATGTTTATTACAAATTAAGAGTAAATATAAGATGATTGTCGAATAACGCGTTTTGGCTGTTCGCTCTGCATCAACATATCGCACCAAAAGCAGCAAGAATATTAGAACTCATTTTGTTTTAAACACACGTGTCTACAATTGGGCAATATCAAGATAACCCTTTTCCCTTTTTTGAAACAAAATTGAGAAACCGTATTGAAAAACCAAAAAAACAATCTCAACTCAAGGGCATGAAAATATTTTGGCACATAACTTGTAGATTGACATTTGAAAACTTCCTATTTCAAGTCTCCATGCTAAGTTAAGCTAACGAGCTCCTGACTGTAGCCTCGCTTTTTACACACAGACATGTAAGACAGGGCTAGTTCATGCTAGACTTCAGAAACAACGGTTTTATCAAACAATTCCACCTGGAGGCACAATCACTTTCTTGTTCCACAGCTTTCAAATGTCAATAATGAACTGGGAAGCTTGAACAAACCCTACCAGACAAATATGGGTACTGCATCACATCAGTGCATAAAGCAGCACTGCTCAAGGAATTACCGCTTTGCCCACAGTGGTCTGACGTACCGAGGAGCGCGTCCAGGTATAAACTATGTGGCAAAGTACTTGACGGTTAACAGACTATAATATCGTAGCAAACAAGTCTTTTAATATCCAACAGGGACAGAAACACCACGAGAGTCACAACAGCAGTCAAAGCTGGCATGGAGATATAAAGCTCTGAAAAGAAGAAAAAAAAACCCCATATCATCGACATATAAAAGATGTACGCAAAATAATTAAAAACAATTACATGCCAAACACTGAATCACAAACCAGACGGAGAAGATTATGCAGAGACTAGATTGATTAATTCACTTTTTATATTCATTGTCTCTGGTAAAAACATTTCATGAATTTTGCTAATTTTGTTCTCGCGTGCAGCTGCACTTTAGGTTTTCTACTCGGGGTGGATACACAGGTAGGTTCCTTTTTGTTTTCCAAAGTAGTAACTATCCTCATGGAAGTTGTTGGACTCCACCACTTCCTTGTAATGGCTGACAGCGTGGACCAGGCAGTCGGGGAAGCTACTGCTCAAAGCCTGAGCCACATCAACCATGTTCCTCTTCATCTTCTCACCTTCGATCTTCTCCTGGATCTCACTCTTGTTAATGGGCTTGGGGTCAACACAAAAAGAGACCACCACTATGAACTTGCTGTTGGTCAGAATCTCAAACCAGTTGGCTCCTCCACTTCCGTGGCACTTCTTTCCTGCCAGCCAGTTGAAAGAGAAGAAGCTTTCCTTGACTGCAAAGGCCCTGATGGACCACTTCACCCAGTCGTATTTCTTAACGAGAGACTCCAGGAGGGATTTGGCGAGGTCGAGGTTGATGGCGCTGGGTTTCTCCTTCACCAGGTGCTCCATGTCCAGCTTGGCTTGAACTGCAAAGTTATCTGTACAGTCATCCACAGCCGCTTTCATTCGATTCTCCACATCCTCCATCCGTCCCTGCCACTTCTTCACCATCTCCTCCCCCACCACCCCTTCCTTCAGGGCGGAGTGGCCCATCACGGCGATGATGCCCACCACAAAAAGCTTCTTCAGCCCAGCGCAGAAATCCTCCACCGTCCTCCTGCTCCTCTTCTTCACGGACACCAGTTTTTCGAGCAGTGGGTCCCCGGCGGCGCTCTCCCCAACGACGGCGTTGTAGAGGGCGTCCAGGTTCAGGTCGGCGTCAGTGTTTTCGTAGTGGCTGATGAACTTCTCCATTTTCTTCTCTTTGAACTTCGGCTTGGCGTTGACAAATTCCTGCAACTTTTCGTACTGGCTGAGTATCTGCGCCTCCCGATCAAAGTTCTGCTTGTTGATTGACGTCCTCTTCAGCTCCAGCTCAATCTGATCGATCTCACCTTGGATTCCCACGAGTTTCTGGTTGACCAGCTCGAACTGCTCAGTCAGGTAGCGAGCCTCTTTGCTGTCCGGGTTTTTGAGTATCATTGCTGAAGTCTTGAACACGGCCTCCAAGACGGGGTGGAGTTTGCCCACGGTGGCGGCGAGCACCTCCGAGGCATCCCCCATGATCTCCACGCCTTTCTCGATCTTGTCCCTGTTCAGCACGATCCAATCTGCCACACCGTCCATCTTTGTATTGTGTGTTTTACGCTAACTAATAACTGTTTTCAGCTGCCAGAGGCTTTGCTGGTGCCTGAAAGAAGAAGAAACATGAAACCATGGTAAAGGTCATTACAGTTTTCTAGATTTCAACTGAAGTTTGGCACATTTTCTTCTCACAGGACATTTTCCTGACAATGAAAACCCTCCAATCAAGCCAACGGCAGGTCATGTCTGCACATGTAGGCATCCAGTTTCATGGCGCACCCTCACAGCCTCGGCTAATGACAGGGACCCGTTTTTTTTTACAGCATTAACACATCAGAAGACAAGCTCATTAACGTACACAAACGAGGCACACATGGATGGCGATTTAGAACAAATATCAGGTCTGTACTCAGGAATTATGACGTATTGCACAACATTGCAGAAATAGATCCAGGTCTGAGAGAAGAAACTTCCCCTCCACTGCTCCTGTTCAATAATGCAATCAGACTTTTACTAATTATTACAGAACAAAATACATAGTTAAAACCCAACAGTTTTGGTATGAATAAAATAGACAATTACAGGCTTACATGTATACCCACAGAAAATGGACACCAATAATTGCTGCACTGATGAGATCAGCGGTGTCATTTTACAGGCTTCACTTACACTACGCTAAATACATCTGATTTATTCAGCCATCAGTGCTTTTAAGATGCATCCATGTTTCCATGTGATGACAATAAAACAATATTTAATATGGAATTTGTAAATCCAGAATTACATTGTAATCTTATTTAAAAGTAATAAAATAACAGTGTGACAAAAATACTTACAAAGTAGTTGTTTTGGCTTGGCTTTGAAAAAAATCTTCACTTGTAAAACTCAAAAAAGTTTGTTATGTAAAAATGTATTTTGTGAAAGGAAAAAAGTTGAGTCCAACAACGGCACTCGATCAAACACTGGGCTTCCCTTTCAATGCTACACAGCTTCAATAGGAACCACAAACGTAAGTGTTCAACCACATCCCCCAATATATATAGACCTACTCTCTCTCGTCACTCCTTCTTTGGAACTCCTCCATCCCGTTCCAGAATTCCTCAGAAATTCACTGAGAGGGATGAGGCCACTTTCACCCTGGGAAAATAGAAACAAATGACACTTGATACTTTTGCTTTGCTAATACTGACAAAAGAAAAAATGCATTATCGCTAAACTTTTGCTGCATCTTGAATCAACAATCTGCAAAAATGAGAAGACAATAGGATTTTTTTTTTGCCATATTAATGTCATTTTATATAAAGTTCATGACTGTTTTGTCTGATTACACTACATTCAATGCCAAAACACAGAAAACAGAGCTTGTGTCGTCTCTATTGTTTGTGTCTAAGGCTGAAAAGATAAATGACTTCCTGGTTAGAGGAAGCTATTGACCACATTTTATCTTTCTGACCTTAACCAATGGCTATTGTTTCCTCCTCGCCACAAGATGTCTCTTCGGCCCACCGCAAAAGCCCCGCGGTGGCTCGTCCAATGAGAAGAACACACACAGCACTCTCTGGAAAGGGTTGGCATTTGAAGACATCAACGGCCCTAATTGAAACACAAGAGAAAAGTCTGCAATATAACTTGAGATTTGTTTAGTTGTCTACCATATAAAAAGGAAACAGATGCAGCGACATGTTTTCAATTGGAACTTCATGAAGGAAAAAAACAAGGTGCTCAGCCTGAAACAGCCAAGTTTTCATTTTGGCAAGCAGCTTTAAACAAAGCAAACTAAATGTGGATGGCCTACTCTGACCAGTTCAACCTGATTATTTCTGTGAACCGTTTTTATTTTTATGGACACAGTTATCTATACAGGCAGAGTAAACAGTCAAGATGCCGGAGTCACATAACAAAGCAAACATGACGAGCACTTACAGACGTTGACTTTCACTCCCTGTATCCAAGCCACCAATTAACATCAGTCTTTCGTAGGATTGCTTCATAGATAGAATTATTATATTTATCACATTATTAACACTTATTATTATTAGCACTAAATTAGAGAAAAATATGTTTGATTGTGGGATATTTCCAGAGGCCACAAACAGCAGTTTTTCAGAGCAAAACAGAAGACCACATTCTTAAGAGACAAAAATCATCCAGGTATTTAGATATTAAAGTCTGAACTGCAGTAGCGGAGCTGCCAGTGTGGGCAAAAGAATCGGCACAAACGCTTCACACTGAGACTATATGAAGGGTTTAGAAACGTCAGCTCTTCTTCACATCAACACTTTTCCATCCGGGAATGTTTATGATGGCGTAAAAAAACCTGAAGGTCAGGTAGTTTGGATGGGAAGGTGGTGTCTTCCCTCTATTGGCGCCCCCCGTCTACCCCCCTCCAGGTGTTTCCAATCGTATAAGATCCAAGAGACATTTTTAGAGGAAAGATTTCAACATCTCAACATCAGTCAGGCACCAGCGATCTGTATGCGCAACAGCGACTCCAGCAGCGAGAGGCCGGCGCCCCCCCCCTCCTCCCCCGCCACGAGCCCATCTGTCAATCACACAGATCAATACTAAGTCGGGTTGGATTTGAGGAAACAGATCGAGGTTCCCGGGGCTGAGAGAAGCCGACTTATTGATTGCAGGCAAACTCACCTACGGGTGAGTCTCACACAACAGAGTCAGAGCACCTTCGAGCTCCACACCAAATCCAATTACTCTCCCTGGCCGACATGTTGTTTAATCACGCTGTCGCGTTCCTAACTTCTTAGAAACTCACGCTGGGGATAGAAGATATTTCACAAAGCAGATCAATACAGCAATTAGGTCTGTGGTTCACGAAAGCTTCGGTGGACGGACCAATAAAGCACCAGGGGACTGGTCGCGCTTTGGTTTAAAACTCAACCAGCTGGTTGATGAGGCCTCGCACCGTCATCCACCAGGTGTTTGTGACAGAGTGAACTCCTACACAGAAACCCAGATTAAAACCAGCTGACGCAGGAGCTCGTGGCTTTAACTCGGCTCCTTATCGTTCGCCATCCTCCTTCCGATATCACGGCCATAACCTGTTCACCAAAATCACGTGCTACTAGAGATCCTCTCAGTTTGAACTGTTAGTGGGGCAAATGCAAATAATGCAGTAAATACTGATTGGAGGGAAAATGCAGGAATTGCCACCATAGAAACACAAAACAAAATATATTTGCTTTGTCATAATTTGATGGAAAATATGCATTAAATAACACTCCAATTTTATTTTGTATTGGATTGTTGAATGCAATATATTTGTTATTGTAACATGAAATAAAATGCGAGGTGAGCGGGTCCAGCAGAGGGCAGAACAGGCCTGCCGGTAATGAATGCTAAGTGCTTTTTTAAAATTTCATTTGGAGGTGTGATAGAAAAAAACGGTAGAAACTTTGCTTTGAGCAGAGCTCATCTGCCCTGGCACCAGCTCATAACAGATATCAGATTAAAACAGTTGCCTCGGAGACGTCAGCTGCAGGGAAAATACGATCAACTTTAAATTCAGTTTCATTTGTTATTGATCTGCAGCTTCAGGAGATGGATTCTGCTTCCGTAGGCGGCAGAAAAAGAACATTTGGAAAGCTCTTCTTTGCAGTTGTGTTGATGGAAAAGCTAACTGGTGTAAATGAGAAGCCCACTGCTAACATTGTCATGGTTTCTTATATTACGCCATAGTTAAGCTTTGTGTTTTGTTCATTCCTAAGCTGCTTCCAAAGATCTGCACTTGGCATGTTTGTTCTTGCCTCGGGCTCTTGACTCATTAAATCCGCTCCTGCGTCCCAATTTGTTGATGTTCTCATGAGAATTTGACTCAGATCGCGACGGATCAACCCACTGAGAGTCTCTGTGACGGGGGCATTTCTTATTGTAACATAAGAACATTCCTGCAAAATAATTAAAACCATTCTTCAGTCAGTCTGGCAACATGTGTTTATTATTCCCAAATCAATTAAATATGTGAAAGGCTGTTTTCTGTGAGAACACAAAGGAGTTGTTTGCCTTTTGTGAGGCTCTTGCCTCATCTGCTAAACTAAGAATGACAAAAAGGACAAAAGACAGACGGACAGGTGAAGACTACGAATGAGGAGAGACAGACGGGTTCCCAGCAGGAACAGACAGAGAGGTCCGTGTGGGCACCGACCTGCTGCAAACGAGGGAGGGAGGAAATCCGGGAGCCGTTGGGACTACGACAGCGCTGGGACGGGGGGAGGACGGGGGGAGGACGGGGGGAGGACGGGGGGACTGAGACAACACGGGGCCCTGAGGACGGAGTGCAGACAGCGGCGGCGGCATCAGAGGAGAAAGGAGAGGCTCGGAAAGAACACAAGGGGAATTTAGATGCGCTGCAGATGGCCGAGACACGTGTTTCCCACCCAGTGGAATTCCACTCAAACGGCCCTCCAGACGTTCCACCCACAATGCACACGGCACCAAAAGCACTGAAAGCAGAGTTCTTAACTTCACCTAAAATATCTATGTTGATCGCTTCGGTAATGACATGTTTTGTTATGCTGACGTAACGTTAGAAAGGTTGCTGGTGGAAAAAGTACTTGTTTTTTTACTTAAGCAAAAGTAATGTAAAAAGGATTCAGTTACAAGTAACATATATAAATTCAAAATAAAATAATTGTAATAATAGTGCGTCTTGGTTATAAATTGTGATGCTAAATGTGCACATCTTACGTTAATGCTGCAGCTAAGGTGAAAAGTATTTAAAAACTTTATAGAAGGCTTTCCCCAGTTTTATATAGTGACACATCATAAATTGTATGTTAGTCCACACTCTACTCCTCTGAGGTATTAGAGGTATAAAACGTCTCGTATTAGCCTGGGCAGTACAACTTAAAATGTCACATACATTCATTTAATTTTAAATTTTAAATCGCCTCTATAATGTCGTACAGTCAACAAAGTCCTGTGTCCTTTTATGTCTAAAACAGTCAGCGAGGTTCTGGCCTCAGACCTGCAGCCAGTGTGTCACTGAACAAATGTTTTAGTGCTTTTTATCGGATTAGTCCACTCAAAGAGCAGCCGGCTGGTCGATGGTCCACTCGCACTGATGGGTAACAGCATTATCCCGAGCGGGCCTGTGGATTGGCAGACAGAACCGTCCTGCCATTGATCGGCTGCCTCCTCCAGGGCCACTCTGATGCAAGCGTCCATCCAGCGTTTCATTTGTTTATGAAATATTGATATTGGCTTCCTATCTCCTCGTGGACAGATGAGGATATTAGAGACAGCGTTTAGAGATACTGGCAACGAAAGTAGTGTTCTTTCTTTCTTTTTTGTTTGTTGGATTTACCTTTCTGTTGTTTTCCCAAAATACAACACGGAGGCTTTTGCCAGCAATGAAAAGGCAAACATTGCTTTCAGGAGATCAACAGTCTCACATCACAACGTGAGCTTTTACACTTGCTTAGAAACTCCAAAGTAAAAACTGGAAATGGATGAAGAACGTGAAAAGCGATGCAAATGCTAAGTCATCTACGTTTGTTAAAAAATGTAGCGTACCTCCAAAAATGCCACTCAACCAGACCCACAGGAACACACCATTTCGTGGTGGGGTTTTGTTCAGAACTTTATTGCACACACATCTGAATGTCCATAGCGCCCTCTGTCTGCAAACCACCCGTGGTGCCCTCCGTCCTCCAGGAAACCTTAATTTAACCTTTTATTCCTTTAACCGGTCGGTCCAAGCCGACCCCGGCTCCCTCGCCGCAGGATGGATGCAGTCGGCCTTGTCGGTAAACGGATGCTCTGGTCTTCCCATAATGACAGTCGGGACACCCAGGTCTGAGAGAAGAAAATTCCCCACCACTGCACTTGCTCAATACTGCAATCACACTTTTACTAATATTACAGAACAAAAAACAAACCCGACACATACAGAGATTTTTTCTGACGTTTTGGTATGAATGAAAAACAGACAAATACAGGTTCACACCAATAATTGCTGCAGTGATGAGATCAGCGGTGTCATTTTACAGCCTTCACTTACACTACGCTAATTACATCTAATCTATTCAGCCATCAGTGCTACGAAGATGTATCCACATTTCCGTGTGATGGAAATAAAACAATGCATCATTTAAAATATAATGTGTAACTGCAGAATTCCATTGCATTCTGATTTACATTACATTACATTACATGTCATTTAGCTGACGCTTTTATCCAAAGCGACGTACAATAAGTGCATTCAACCATAGGGTACAAACTCAGGAGAACAAGAAACAAGAAAGTGCAATTTCCTCAAATAAGCCGATTTACAATTTGCTATACATGAGTGACGTTACAAGTACAATTTAAGTGCTACAATTTGTTAGTCGGGGTAGAGTAGAGAACAGTGAGGAAATAATACTTACAGTGTAATTGTTTAAGGCTTGTGTTTGAAAAAAAGTCTTCACTTGTAAACCCACCCCCAAAGAAAGTTAGTCTCCGTTCAGCACAGACGGTGAAATGTATTTTGTGAAAGGAAAAAGGCGAGTCCAACACGCACTTGATCAAACACTGATCTCCCCTTTCAATGCTACACAGCTTCAATAGGAACCACAAACGTAAGCCTCTAACGAGACCACATCCCCCAAAGGACTCATCTCTACCGATGACACGTCTCTTCAATTTAGACTTTTTCCCCTTACTTTTAAGGAAATAAAAAAAAGAACAAGAAAAGCCAAATAAACAAATCTGAATTTTGAGTTTTTCCTTCTTTCTTTCTCTTTCTTTGAACCAACTTTAAGCGATGGTTCACTGGTGACAAGGATGATGGAGATGCTAAATAAAGAAATAGAGCAGGAAAAAAAATGTACTCACCTTTCTAGCTAAATATCCAGTGGACTACGGTCCAGTTATCCAGTAGTCCAGCTGTGCCTGTGAGCACCAAGCTCTTTGGGATGTATATATAGACTCTCTCTCTCTCTCTCTCTCTCTCTCTCCCCCTCCCTCCCTCCTGGTGTCTCTCTCATCACTCCCCCTTTGGAACTCCTCCATCCCGTTCCGGCATTCCTCAGAAACCCACTGAGAGGGATGAGGGGCCGGCACAGACACAGATAACATCCTGTAAACACTCCCCACGCAGGGACACCATGCACCCTGGGAAAATGTTGAAAAATACAACGTTTTTTGTGCGTGTCTGTGCATGTGTGTGTGTTTGTGTGTGTGTCTGTTAGCGAGAGAAACACACAGACGAGGGGATTGAGAGGAAGAATCAAAAGGAGACCAATGGCAGCAGGGCTCAGCCGAGCGACCCAGGAGCACAAAACCCCTCTTGTTGTAGCTCAAGGTTGCCATGGTGACTGAACTGGTTCCTCTAACTTCTGTGAGGCTTTGCATGCTGCAAAAACCATTAGGCTAGCTCTGTTAGAACGCTAAATATTTAAAATACATCATTGTACTTTTTAAGAAAAAGGCCTTTTGAGATAATTTGGTAAATGTTGAGGGATGACGATGGCCCCGCTGGGGGAAGTGCTCGGTCCGTCACAGTGCTGCTCAGTGAAAGACGGTCTGTGTCTTCCCAGGACACACCATGACAGTCGGAGCTCACTCATGGCCTTTGTGCTTAAAGCGGGCCGTGACACACACGGCATCGATGTCACCGTCCTCCGTAACGGATCCCAAAGAGGCGGGAACAGGAAGAGGAGGGAAGGATGTCTGCTGTGAAATTGGTACTCGTCAGCAGGGCACGGGTGGAGAGGTGGAGAGCTGCTTTCGCAGGGACCCAGCAGTACGTGGCGTGATGGGTGGCACAGGCCGACGCCGGGGAACACACGCTGCGTGAAACGCCCGAGTTGTGCTGGTTAACAAGACACGACTTTCTCTCGTGTTTGCAGAGAAGACCATCCGTCTGCGGACTAGGAGAGAGGCTCTGGCTCCAGCATCCATGGAAAAGTGTTGAACTTGGGGAAAGGTTTTGTGGTATTCAGACTCCCCAGGTGGAAACACAAGTGAAATATTTGAGATAATGACGGCCAGCTGAGGAAAGAGCTTGAGGGCATTAGGCTGTTTTTGTCTGTCTTTACTCAGCATGCACCCACTCGGCACGTTGGGGGAGCTGAAGTAATCTCCTGCTTTTTTAATGCATCAATTTATCAGGGTAGAGTTGGGACTAGAAGATTGTTGTTTGATTGTGAGACATTGCCAGAGGCCACAAACAGCAGCTTGTCCGGGCCAAGATCATCACCCGTATAATATTTCTGCTTCCACTTTAATGGCAGGAAAAGCAGGTTTGTGTTCACACGGGCCTTGATTCAATTAAAACTGATGCAACTGGATAAAAACAAGTCAGCAGTGTTTGATTAAATGTAAGACGATACACTAGTGCAGGGTGTATGTGTAGATGTATTATGCACAATGTCAAAGCCAGCTCAATAGAGATCAATAACCCTCCATCACGACAAGAATCTGTGTGTGTTTACAACGAATGAGTAAGACTGTGGCCTCTTTTTCCTACTTGAAGTTGTGAATATTTCATGAATGCATTTATTCCTTTGCTGCCACAGCGTGAGATTTTATCATGGGGAACATTTGCAGGCATGTAAAATACTCCAGTCATTGTCAGCATCATTTAAACCGCCGCATGAACAATAATCTGTGTTCATAATCATCTAGATATGTATTTCATGATCATCTGGATGAAAGAATTGTGAAGATTTATGTTGAGGGCTTTGTGATCAGGTCTCATTCAAGTGTAGCAGAAAACCACATTCTTAAGAAACAAAAATAATCCATCAAGAGGAAAGGTCACCTCGATCCGCCTCATCTTGCGAGCGGAAAACAATTCCAGTAAAAGCTGCAAGACGTGACGTGAGTGATTCCGGGTGAAGAGTTGTTTTCGCTTCAGAACGTTCGTAACCGCGTTAAAGGACCCTGACGTATTTGAGTGACAGCTGTTATAACAGCTGGTCTGATTCCCGAAATGCCGGGCGAAGGTACTCAGTCCGGTTGAGAAGAATATGTTTTAACTCATCATCCACATTCAATAGATACTAAGTGCCAAAGTGCTGAAAAGTTAGATAAATTAGTTAAATTCTTGATTTAATAATGTCTACATCATAGGGAATTTAGATATTTAAGCTGCCAGTGTGTGCAAAGGAATCGGCTCAAACTCTTCACATCGAAACTTTTCCATCCGGGATTGTTTATGATGACGTAAAAAAACCTCAACGTCAGCATAAATTTGAGAAGACCGGTAGTTTGGGTGTGAAGGTGGTGTCTTCTCTCTGTGTAATGCCCCCCCGTCTACCCCTCTCCAGGTGTTTCCGGGTCATAGACAACATGGCGTCCGGTGACAGACTACAACATCACTGAGTACGAAAAAGTCCAGGGAGGGCAGGGACGCAGGAAAAGTCCTTCCATAATTCATTTCAAGGTTTCATAGAAATCTAAAGTGACTCTTGGCTGACTCTTATCGCTATCACTGATCCGAGCAGTGTGTTTCAATCGTGAATGATCCAAGAGACAAGAGACAGTATCACAAAAATGGCTTTTAATGACCAAAGATGACAAAACTGTTCATGTTTATTACAAATTAAGAGTAAATATAAGATGATTGTCGAATAACGCGTTTTGGCTGTTCGCTCTGCATCAACATATCGCACCAAAAGCAGCAAGAATATTAGAACTCATTTTGTTTTAAACACACGTGTCTACAATTGGGCAATATCAAGATAACCCTTTTCCCTTTTTTGAAACAAAATTGAGAAACCGTATTGAAAAACCAAAAAAACAATCTCAACTCAAGGGCATGAAAATATTTTGGCACATAACTTGTAGATTGACATTTGAAAACTTCCTATTTCAAGTCTCCATGCTAAGTTAAGCTAACGAGCTCCTGACTGTAGCCTCGCTTTTTACACACAGACATGTAAGACAGGGCTAGTTCATGCTAGACTTCAGAAACGACGGTTTTATCAAACAATTCCACCAGGAGGCACAATCACTTTCTTGTTCCACAGCTTTCAAATGTCAATAATGAACTGGGAAGCTTGAACAAACCCTACCAGACAAATATGGGTACTGCATCACGTCAGTGCATAAAGCAGCACTGCTCAAGGAATTACCGCTTCGCCCACAGTGGTCTGACGTACCGAGGAGCGCGTCCAGGTATAAACTATGTGGCAAAGTACTTGACGGTTAACAGACTATAATATCGTAGCAAACAAGTCTTTTAATATCCAACAGGGACAGAAACACCACGAGAGTCACAACAGCAGTCAAAGCTGGCATGGAGATATACAGCTCTGAAAAGAAGAAAAAAAAAAACCCATATCATCGACATATAAAAGATGTACGTAAAATAATTAAAAACAATTACATGCCAAACACTGAATCACAAACCAGACGGAGAAGATTATGCAGAGACTAGATTGATTAATTCACTTTCTATATTTATTGTCTCTGGTAAAAACATTTCATGAATTTTGCTAATTTTGTTCCCGCGTGCGGCTGCACTTTAGGTTTTCTACTCGGGGTGGATACACAGGTAGGTTCCTTTTCGTTTTCCATAGTAGTAACTATCCTCATGGAAGTTGTTGGACTCCACCACTTCCTTGTAATGGCTGACAGCGTGGACCAGGCAGTCGGGGAAGCTACTGCTCAAAGCCTGAGCCACATCAACCATGTTCCTCTTCATCTTCTCACCTTCGATCTTCTCCTGGATCTCACTCTTGTTAATGGGCTTGGGGTCAACACAAAAAGAGACCACCACTATGACCTTGCTGTTGGTCAGAATCTCAAACCAGTTGGCTCCTCCACTTCCGTGGCACTTCTTTCCTGCCAGCCAGTTGAACAAGAAGAAGCGCTCCTTGACGGCAAAGGCCCTGATGGACCACTTCACCCAGTCGTATTTCTTAACGAGAGACTCCAGGAGGGATTTGGCGAGGTCGAGGTTGATGGCGCTGCGTTTCTCCTTCACCAGGAGCTCCATGTCCAGCTTGGCTTGAACTGCAAAGTTATCTGTACAGTCATCTACAGCCGCTTTCATTCGATTCTCCACATCCTCCAGCCGTCCCTGCCACTTCTTCACCATCTCCTCCCCCCCCACCCCTTCCTTCAGGGCGGAGTGGCCCATCACGGCGAAGATGCCCACCAGAAAAAGCTTCTTCAGCCGGGCGCAGAAATCCTCCACCGCCCTCCTGCTCCTCTGCTCCGTGGTCACCACTGTTTCGAGCAGTGGGTCCCCGGCGGCGCTCTCCCCAACGACGGCGTTGTAGAGGGCGTCCAGGTTCAGGTCGGCGTCAGTGTTTTCGTAGTGGCTGATGAACTTCTCCATTTTCTTCTCTTTGAACTTCGGCTTGGCGTTGACAAATTCCTGCAACTTTTCGTACTGGCTGAGTATCTGCGCCTCCCGATCAAAGTTCTGCTTGTTGATTGACGTCCTCTTCAGCTCCAGCTCAATCTGATCGATCTCACCTTGGATTCCCACGAGTTTCTGGTTGACCAGCTCGAACTGCTCAGTCAGGTAGCGAGCCTCTTTGCTGTCCGGGTTTTTGAGTATCATTGCTGAAGTCTTGAACACGGCCTCCAAGACGGGGTGGAGTTTGCCCACGGTGGCGGCGAGCACCTCAGAGGCTTCCCCCATGATCTCTACGCCTTTCTCGATCTTGTCCCTGTTCAGCACGATCCAATCTGCCACACCGTCCATCTTTGTATTGTGTGTTTTACGCTAACTAATAACTGTTTTCAGCTGCCAGAGGCTTTGCTGGTGCCTGAAAGAAGAAGAAACATGAAACCATGGTAAAGGTCATTACAGTTTTCTAGATTTCAACTGAAGTTTGGCACATTTTCTTCTCACAGGACATTTTCCTGACAATGAAAACCCTCCAATCAAGCCAACGGCAGGTCATGTCTGCACATGTAGGCATCCAGTTTCATGGCGCACCCTCACAGCCTCGGCTAATGACAGGGACCCGTTTTTTTTTACAGCATTAACACATCAGAAGACAAGCTCATTAACGTACACAAACGAGGCACACATGGATGGCGATTTAGAACAAATATCAAACAAGGTCTGTACTCAGGAATTATGACGTATTGCACAACATTGCAGAAATAGATCCAGGTCTGAGAGAAGAAACTTCCCCTCCACTGCTCCTGTTCAATAATGCAATCAGACTTTTACTAATTATTACAGAACAAAATACATAGTTAAAACCCAACAGTTTTGGTATGAATAAAATAGACAATTACAGGCTTACATGTATACCCACAGAAAATGGACACCAATAATTGCTGCACTGATGAGATCAGCGGTGTCATTTTACAGGCTTCACTTACACTACGCTAATTACATCTGATTTATTCAGCCATCAGTGCTTTTAAGATGCATCCATGTTTCCATGTGATGACAATAAAACAATATTTAATATGGAATTTGTAAATCCAGAATTACATTCTAATTTAAAAGTAATAAAATAACAGTGTGACAAAAATACTTACAAAGTAGTTATTTTGGCTTGGCTTTGAAAAAAATCTTCACTTGTAAAACTCAAAAAAGTTTGTTATGTAAAAATGTATATTGTGAAAGGAAAAAAGTTGAGTCTAACAACGGCACTCGATCAAACACTGGGCTTCCCTTTCAATGCTACACAGCTTCAATAGGAACCACAAACGTAAGTGTTCAACCACATCCCCCAATATATATAGACCTACTCTCTCTCGTCACTCCTTCTTTGGAACTCCTCCATCCCGTTCCAGAATTCCTCAGAAATTCACTGAGAGGGATGAGGCCACTTTCACCCTGGGAAAATAGAAACAAATGACACTTGATACTTCTGCTTTGCTAATACTGACAAAAGAAAAAATGCATTATCTCTAAACTTTTGCTGCATCTTGAATCAACAATCTGCAAAAATGAGAAGACAATAGGATTTTTTTTTTGCCATATTAATGTCATTTTATATAAAGTTCATGACTGTTTTGTCTGATTACACTACATTCAATGCCAAAACACAGAAAACAGAGCTTGTGTCGTCTCTATTGTTTGTGTCTAAGGCTGAAAAGATAAATGACTTCCTGGTTAGAGGAAGCTATTGACCACATTTTATCTTTCTGACCTTAACCAATGGCTATTGTTTCCTCCTCGCCACAAGATGTCTCTTCGGCCCACCGCAAAAGCCCCGCGGTGGCTCGTCCAATGAGAAGAACACACACAGCACTCTCTGGAAAGGGTTGGCATTTGAAGACATCAACGGCCCTAATTGAAACACAAGAGAAAAGTCTGCAATATAACTTGAGATTTGTTTAGTTGTCTACCATATAAAAAGGAAACAGATGCAGCGACATGTTTCCAATTGGAACTTCATGAAGGAAAAAAACAAGGTGCTCAGCCTGAAACAGCCAAGTTTTCATTTTGGCAAGCAGCTTTAAACAAAGCAAACTAAATGTGGATGGCCTACTCTGACCAGTTCAACCTGATTATTTCTGTGAACCGTTTTTATTTTTATGGACACAGTTATCTATACAGGCAGAGTAAACAGTCAAGATGCCGGAGTCACATAACAAAGCAAACATGACGAGCACTTACAGACGTTGACTTTCACTCCCTGTATCCAAGCCACCAATTAACATCAGTCTTTCGTAGGATTGCTTCATAGATAGGATTATTATATTTATCAAATTATTAACACTTATTATTATTAGCACTAAATTAGAGAAAAATATGTTTGATTGTGGGATATTTCCAGAGGCCACAAACAGCAGTTTTTCAGAGCAAAACAGAAGACCACATTCTTAAGAGACAAAAATCATCCAGGTATTTAGATATTAAAGTCTGAACTGCAGTAGCGGAGCTGCCAGTGTGGGCAAAAGAATCGGCACAAACGCTTCACACTGAGACTATATGAAGGGTTTAGAAACGTCAGCTCTTCTTCACATCAACACTTTTCCATCCGGGAATGTTTATGATGGCGTAAAAAAACCTGAAGGTCAGGTAGTTTGGATGGGAAGGTGGTGTCTTCCCTCTATTGGCGCCCCCCGTCTACCCCCCTCCAGGTGTTTCCAATCGTATAAGATCCAAGAGACATTTTTAGAGGAAAGATTTCAACATCTCAACATCAGTCAGGCACCAGCGATCTGTATGCGCAACAGCGACTCCAGCAGCGAGAGGCCGGCGCCCCCCCCCTCCTCCCCCGCCACGAGCCCATCTGTCAATCACACAGATCAATACTAACTCGGGTTGGATTTGAGGAAACAGATCGAGGTTCCCGGGGCTGAGAGAAGCCGACTTATTGATTGCAGGCAAACTCACCTACGGGTGAGTCTCACACAACAGAGTCAGAGCACCTTCGAGCTCCACACCAAATCCAATTACTCTCCCTGGCCGACATGTTGTTTAATCACGCTGTCGCGTTCCTAACTTCTTAGAAACTCACGCTGGGGTTAGAAGATATTTCACAAAGCAGATCAATACAGCAATTACGTCTGTGGATCACGAAAGCTTCGGTGGACGGACCAATAAAGCACCAGGGGACTGGTCGCGCTTTGGTTTAAAAACTCAACCAGCTGGTTGATGAGGCCTCGCACCGTCATCCACCAGGTGTTTGTGACAGAGTGAACTCCTACACAGAAACCCAGATTAAAACCAGCTGACGCAGGAGCTCGTGGCTTTAACTCGGCTCCTTATCGTTCGCCATCCTCCTTCCGATATCACGGCCATAACCTGTTCACCAAAATCACGTGCTACTAGAGATCCTCTCAGTTTGAACTGTTAGTGGGGCAAATGCAAATAATGCAGTAAATACTGATTGGAGGGAAAATGCAGGAATTGCCACCATAGAAACACAAAACAAAATATATTTGCTTTGTCATAATTTGATGGAAAATATGCATTAAATAACATTCCAATTTTATTTTGTTTTGGATTGTTGAATGCAATATATTTGTTATTGTAACATGAAATAAAATGCGAGGTGAGCGGGTCCAGCAGAGGGCAGAACAGGCCTGCCGGTAATGAATGCTAAGTGCTTTTTTAAAATTTCATTTGGAGGTGTGATAGAAAAAAACGGTAGAAACTTTGCTTTGAGCAGAGCTCATCTGCCCTGGCACCAGCTCATAACAGATATCAGATTAAAACAGTTGCCTCGGAGACGTCAGCTGCAGGGAAAATACGATCAACTTTAAATTCAGTTTCATTTGTTATTGATCTGCAGCTTCAGGAGATGGATTCTGCTTCCGTAGGCGGCAGAAAAAGAACATTTGGAAAGCTCTTCTTTGCAGTTGTGTTGATGGAAAAGCTAACTGGTGTAAATGAGAAGCCCACTGCTAACATTGTCATGGTTTCTTATATTACGCCATAGTTAAGCTTTGTGTTTTGTTCATTCCTAAGCTGCTGTCAAAGATCTGCACTTGGCATGTTTGTTCTTGCCTCGGGCTCTTGACTCATTAAATCCGCTCCTGCGTCCCAATTTGTTGATGTTCTCATGAGAATTTGACTCAGATCGCGACGGATCAACCCACTGAGAGTCTCTGTGACGGGGGCATTTCCTGGTTCTCCTCTCTTTCATTTCCTCCTTCTCACGCTTTTACTCATTCACCTCCCACTCCCTCGGGGTCCTGATCCACAACATCAGTGATTCACAACCAGACTCGCCTAGTTTCTGTTACAGGTGAAAGAGATGAAAGTGTGTGTGTGGGGGGGGGGAAGTTTCTCACCCTGTAACATAAGAACATTCCTGCAAAATAATTAAAACCATTCTTCAGTCAGTCTGGCCACATGTGTTTATTATTCCCAAATCAATTAAATATGTGAAAGGCTGTTTTCTGTGAGAACACAAAGGAGTTGTTTGCCTTTTGTGAGGCTCTTGCCTCATCTGCTAAACTAAGAATGACAAAAAGGACAAAAGACAGACGGACAGGTGAAGACTACGAATGAGGAGAGACAGACGGGTTCCCAGCAGGAACAGACAGAGAGGTCCGTGTGGGCACCGACCTGCTGCAAACGAGGGAGGGAGGAAATCCGGGAGCCGTTGGGACTACGACAGCGCTGGGACGGGGGGAGGACGGGGGGGGGGACTGAGACAACACGGGGCCCTGAGGACGGAGTGCAGACAGCGGCGGCGGCATCAGAGGAGAAAGGAGAGGCTCGGAAAGAACACAAGGGGAATTTAGATGCGCTGCAGATGGCCGAGACACGTGTTTCCCACCCAGTGGAATTCCACTCAAACGGCCCTCCAGACGTTCCACCCACAATGCACACGGCACCAAAAGCACTGAAAGCAGAGTTCTTAACTTCACCTAAAAATATCTATGTTGATCGCTTCGGTAATGACATGTTTTGTTATGCTGACGTAACGTTAGAAAGGTTGCTGGTGGAAAAAGTACTTGTTTTTTTACTTAAGCAAAAGTAATGTAAAAAGGATTCAGTTACAAGTAACATATATAAATTCAAAATAAAATAATTGTAATAATAGTGCGTCTTGGTTATAAATTGTGATGCTAAATGTGCACATCTTACGTTAATGCTGCAGCTAAGGTGAAAAGTATATAAAAACTTTATAGAAGGCTTTCCCCAGTTTTATATAGTGACACATCATAAATTGTATGTTAGTCCACACTCTACTCCTTTGAGGTATTAGAGGTATAAAACGTCTCGTATTAGCCCGGGCAGTACAACTTAAAATGTCACATACATTCATTTCAATCCGGAGAGAATTGTTGAAATTTGAACAATGCTTTATTATAACAGGTATAATATGATATTGCAAGTTGTTTGGGGCTTGGACTCCATCCTGCTGCAGGAAAGACCCGGGGCCGGGATCTCGAGCCGAGACGAGGCATATCCCCCCCTTGGGAGTCCAGACACTGGTGGTGGTGGTGGTGGTAGAGCCCAAGTTGCATAACTCTCCTGCTATGCCAGGTTCTGCTGTAGATTGGAGGTGTCAGGGCTGGTGGCGGGTCACCTTTGGAGCGTGCTGAAATGACAACTGACAGCACAAGAGAGGAGAACAGTTTTTAACGTTTGCCTGCCCCAATGCGATTGGTTTACGGTAACGACACCCACGTCTGATACTACCCGACCCCGCCCCCAATCAGCTGGCCGTGCGCCCCCAGGGAGAGAGGAGGCCACCAGGGAACGGCACAGCCTGTCCAGTCTTCCTGACTGAATTTTCGCCTAAGCTTCATTTAATTTTTAATTTTAAATCGCCTCTATAATGTCGTACAGTCAACAAAGTCCTGTGTCCTTTTATGTCTAAAACAGTCAGCGAGGTTCTGGCCTCAGACCTGCAGCCAGTGTGTCACTGAACAAATGTTTTAGTGCTTTTTATCGGATTAGTCCACTCAAAGAGCAGCCGGCTGGTCGATGGTCCACTCGCACTGATGGGTAACAGCATTATCCCGAGCGGGCCTGTGGATTGGCAGACAGAACCGTCCTGCCATTGATCGGCTGCCTCCTCCAGGGCCACTCTGATGCAAGCGTCCATCCAGCGTTTCATTTGTTTATGAAATATTGATATTGGCTTCCTATCTCCTCGTGGACAGATGAGGATATTAGAGACAGCGTTTAGAGATGCTGGCAACGAAAGTAGTGTTCTTTCTTTCTTTTTTGTTTGTAGGATTTACCTTTCTGTTGTTTCCCCAAAATACAACCTGGAGGCTTTTGCCAGCAATGAAAAGGCAAACATTGCTTTCAGGAGATCAACAGTCTCACATCACAACGTGAGCTTTTACACTTGCTTAGAAACTCCAAAGTAAAAACTGGAAATGGATGAAGAACGTGAAAAGCGATGCAAATGCTAAGTCATCTACGTTTGTTAAAAAATGTAGCGTACCTCCAAAAATGCCACTCAACCAGACCCACAGGAACACACCATTTCGTGGTGGGGTTTTGTTCAGAACTTTATTGCACACACATCTGAATGTCCATAGCGCCCTCTGTCTGCAAACCACCCGTGGTGCCCTCCGTCCTCCAGGAAACCTTAATTTAACCTTTTATTCCTTTAACCGGTCGGTCCAAGCCGACCCCGGCTCCCTCGCCGCAGGATGGATGCAGTCGGCCTTGTCGGTAAACGGATGCTCTGGTCTTCCCATAATGACAGTCGGGATTGACGTGCTCCCCCAGCCGAAGCCTTTTATGCAGGGGAAGAGCCTCCTGGATCAATAGTTGTTACCTAGGAAAACCACTAATGAATCCTGTGGCTCCCGGAACAGACCGCCGCTGCTCTCTCTGCCCTCACAGGGGGGAAAAAAACACGCAAAGGTTTAACGGTCCTGGTGATGATGTGGAAATTAGCCTCCAAACACACCAACCCCATTGGATTAAAAGGGGAAGATCAGGGGATTAGGGTGAACGTTGTTGAAGTGACCCGCGTTTGTAGGCCATCATAGCAGGTGAACAGGCCTATTGTTGCGTCATTCCAGGGGTCGGTTTTCTGGTTCAGCGGTGCACTTGCAGACGGAGGTTGTGGTCTGGCCGTCGCTCCGGCTGCTCCATATAATCTGTTTTTTCAGCGCAGGATTGAAGTACTTATTTGTCAAAGCGCGTTAGTCACCTGTCTGAGACTTCTAGTAATGAAAAGGCTTCGTGCCAACGAGGTGACATGTGCAGCGTTGTGGGTGACACATTTTCCTTTTTTTTAGGTTTTGTACTCCAACACATTTGATTTAGAAATAAATTACAATGAAGTTCAAAGTCCAACTTCCACCATTTGTACAGTTCTTTAACATTTTGACAATGATTTATTGAGGTTGATACACAACTGTTAGCCTAGCTTAGCATTGAGACTGTTTCAAACAACATGCCTTATTATTTACAACATTACAACTTTTTTATTATATGTGAGTTTAAAGGTTCTGGTAGACATAATTTATAACCAAGTCCAATGAATCATTTTGGCCTAAAATTGGTTTTGTGCATTGATTGCATCCTGTGAGATGCATGTAATGGTAAACCATGTCGTAACATTTCTCTTGTGCTAAACCCGTGTCTCAAGTGTCTGTATTTGACCCTGATGTGCAAAAGCAGAAAGATTTCAGGTTTCCATATGCAGCTGTGTCTGAAGAAGGGAGTTAACTTGCTCTCACAGACGCTCGAACAAAGTAACACTGTGTTACCCTCATCTTGCTCACCTCACCTGGGTTCTTATCTCAACCTGATTTACAGCTTCTCGTACCTGGCACTGAGGATAGTCTTCACATGTGTATAAAAACTCAGCGGTTTTACCGCTCGGAGACGCCATTTACACCGAACGCGGAAATACGTGCTTGTGTGTTCGACCTCCCGCTTGCAAGCAATAGTTTAGAGCCAGATATCTGCGGAGAGTTGCTCATGTAATCGTTTTCTCTTCTAAATAAATGTTAACTTGTTGACTTTAATTGATCAACGTGTTGCGATCCTTCTCATCAACCAACTCGGGGGGGTCGTAGATCCCGACAATCCTCATAGCGACCTCGTCTTCCCACCGGCAGCTTCTTCCACCGCAGACTCGGACGGTTGAGCGCAGTGCACTCGTTCCTCCTGTGCTGTGTAAAGCCGACTGCTCCTGATGGATTGTGACAGGCTGGATTCATGAGCAGCTAACGACCCTCCGGATCCACTGAGATATGGAGTCATGGCCTTCTCCACCCGCGCTGCACCTGCACCACGCGGGCAGCATGACGGAAAGCGTCGAGCTGAGCCGAGCACTTTGCAGCTGGTCTGCAGGATATTAGTGATTCATGGGCTAACAAACCTGGGCCGCCCGCGGTCAGGAAATGCTGACTTATGTGTAAAATATCAATTGAATTAGTCTGAGAGCCTGTTGCTGAGTCTGCACTGCCTTGTTTTAATGGTCGCTGACGCTAACTGTGCCGCGTAAATCACATTTGTACAAGGAAAGAGAGTCCGGAATTAGATTATACTTGTTTACATATCCATTTACAATTTGTATTTTTTCATTATGACACAAACTAACAACAATGCTAAATATTGATCATGCGCTGAATTTATTCAGAGTATTTGGTTTTAACATAGACAGTAGTGTGGTTTAAGTAGTGATACATGACATTTTGATATGATTAAATGGCTATTTATGTCATTGCTCAGTATAACACAGTGGATTTTAAACTAGTTCACAAACGTACTGCATGCGCTGTTTGTCTCTTCTGGGAAAGTCTATGGATGCACAGGGAAGTTATTTCCCACTACTGAGCAAAGAAATAAGTGTTTAGCATGATCAGGATATCATAAGATTAAGAATAATCACATACAATAGTGAGAAAAAAAAACCCTTCACACAAGGCGTAAAGTGCAAAACAACAACAATCATCATTCATCAAAATAACGTTAAAGAATTCCACGGATACAGGCACCGCCCCGGTGAGCAGCGGGGTTCGGTTGTTTGGGGTCGAGCGGTTTAAACGTGTTTAAAACTCAAGGCACATTGTTGCGTCTCCGGTGCCAAACTCCAAGCCCCTCGTTCTTTCACGCCTGAAAAAGTAGCCCCCCTCCTCTGTCCCCCCCAACCCCTCCGTCATAGTTATATGTAGGCCAGCCTGCTGAGCAGAAACAAAATGGGAGCTCGGTAGATGCAGCCTCAGCACAACCGTCCCGTCAGAGGAGCAGGTGCAGAGGCCGTTTCTCGCGGGAGGCTGGATTATTACTGCATGACGCTGCGGTAAAAGCATGGACACGTCACAGAGCAGATTGGTTGGTTAGTTGCCCGTAAGTCACAAGCGGATACTGCCTCGGTTATACGCGAGCAGTTTATATTTGAAAAGCTACAACACCAAATAAACGCACATCATAATTTCCAGAAAAACTATTAAATGTGCATTTGTGATTTAGTTATTTTAGCATAAAATAACTAAATATTTAACTAAATAATCCAAATACATGTTTGTGATCAGGATGCATCGATGCTTTTTTCTCTAGATAACTACACACAGTGTGTGTGGTTTGAAGTACATTGTAGAAAGCACTTTAATAGTTGTACTTTACTTGTGTAAGTTATTTCACATTGCTACTCTACCAAGTTTCAGCAGAAACTGTTTCACTCCACTACATTGATCTTATAGTTACTTTTCAGGTACAGGAAAGCGGTGTCTAGTTTGGTCCCTTTATAGTGTAGTTGTGCGTCAGTTGTTAGCTGTTGCACAGGGTTTCATTTAAATACAGAATTTGAAGCACTAGGGGTGAAAAAGAAAATGAAAATGATTTCATTAAAAAGAAACGTTTCAAGGAAAGTCAGAAGGTCCGATGTTGTGACTCTTCAAAAGGGGCGTAAATATTGAGAAAATAAGTCCTGATGCACACAACAATATTTTGCACACGGGATTGTTGTGTTGCTCTATAAATGAAGGCGGGTTTAAATGCAGATGTTTACACCTGGGTGTGCCGAGACCCATCAGGCGTTTCCCATCGGATCCGCAGCATCTCAATTCAAACGCACCCCTCCGCTGCAAAACCCCCAAAGCTCTAAACCGGCTTCACTCCGAGTGCACGCACACTGCCACGTTCTTGTGCCTCTCCCAGTAGTGGCAGTCGTCAGGAAAGCTCCACGCGGCTGCAGACTGCTTGTGGCGACTGACGGCGTGAACGACGAAGCCGCAGAGCCGCTCCTCCAGCGCCTCCACCACCGCCGGGGCGTGGCCCTTCTTGGCCAGGCCCTCCATCGCCTGGCGGACGCAGTCGCGGGGCACCGGCTGGGGTTTGGTGCTGTACGACACCACCAGGTTGATGTCGTTCACCTGGAGCACCTCGAACCAGTTCTGTCCCGCCACGTGGTGAAAGTGCTGCCCCGCCCGCCAGTTCCGGTAGGAGCTCCCTGAGTGGTTGATGAGCCGCACTGACCAGCTGACCCAATCGTACTTCTTCATCAGGAGTTCGAGGAGCTGCTGGGTCGTGTTTTCCAGGTTGTCTTCTTCCTTTTCTTGCAGGAGGCGCTGAGCGTCTAGTTTCGCCTGCTCTGGGAAGGCGGCGACACAGGACTCGATGGAGGACTTCATCTTGGACTCCACCTCTTCAATAATGCTGCTCCACTCCTGGATTTTGTCGTCTTCTTCGTCTTGGCCGCGGGTTAAGGCACAGTGGCCCAACAGAGCGATCAGACCCAAACAGAGGAGCTCCTTCATCCGGACGCAGAACTCTTCCAGGAGACGACGGTTCCTCGCCACGTACCTGCAACAAAAACGGAACCACTTGAATATGTGTTGAATTCATCTTTTGCTCCAATACGGAGAAACTTGCATAATTTACCTATCAACCAAATCTAAAACAGATTCCCCGAAGCCGTTTGTCCCCATCAGAGCATCGTAGAGCAAAAACAGGTTCTTCTCGCCTCCAGTTTTGGCAAAGTGCTCCACAAAAAGTCTGGTCTTCACCTCCCGGAACTGCTGTTTCGCCTCCAAGATGTCCATATACTTCCGAAACTGGTTCCTGATGATCTCCTCCACTGAGAAGTACCGGGTATCCAGACTCTTCTTCTTGAGCTCACAGTCGATGTCCTCTAGTTGGGTGGAGAGCACGTCGAGCTTGTTTCTCACCGTCAGGAACTGCTCTTTGACGTAGAAGACCTCTTTGCTGTGGACATTGTCCAAGGCCAAGCGGAGGACCGGGGCGGCGGCCTCACAGAGGGGGAAGAGCTCGCCCACGGCGCTGGCCAACACCTCGGCTCCCTTCTGAAACATGTCCATCACCGCCTCGATGGCCTCCTTCTTCTGGGCCACGGCCTTCTCCAAAGAAGTGGTCATGTTCTGAGACACACAGCGACAAAAGATGGAGTGCGAGACAAATAAACATCGGGGACGATGATAGGAAGAGATTAAAGGACAAAGTGGATTATTATCCTTTAGAACCGTCATTTAAGCCCTCAAAGAGACGCAGTGACGTCGTCTCGAAATGTTCCAATCTAAATCTTTGATATCCAATAACTGTTCCAGTGGAAAAACACAAGAATTGGATTAAAGTCCAAATTGAATAGAAACTGAAGGCTTTTCAAATAATCGGTCTCCTCTTTCATCATTGACAGGAGATTTTTGAAAAATCACACATACTTTTCACACTTTCTCCTTGGTGATAAAAAACAGTTGAAACTATTTGTCCTTCAACGGTTTGTTTCTTTTTTCTTTCAAGCAGAAAAGCAAAAAAAAAGACTTATGAAACTGACAAACTAACTTATAATAACTATTGTAAGTATAAGTATAACTATTATTTTTGACACATGATAACAATGCAGCCCTACAGTAGAAAAAACACAAGACTTAACTGCAGGATATAAAAAGGATTCCCTTAAATCTGCATTGACGTGGTAAAGAAGATACTGATGTCATATAAACAAAATGGGGGCTGAGATTACTCGCCTGAGAAAATGACATAAATGCCAATGTGTACTATGACTCAGAGGCCAAAGTGAAAATATCCTTTCCTTTATTTGAAAATGCTATTCTATATTTAGATTAAGAGTGCGAAATAAACTAAATAAATAATCTATATAACTATCCTTTAAAACCGATTGAACAAGCTGCGCCATTTTTCACTGTCAAATGAAATGCGCAACGGAAAGGGGGTTTTTTTTACGCACAAATCCCCTCCGAGCATCGGACACACCTTGCGCCATATTTACCCCCTCTGATGGAAGATAAGGACATCCATCACATTCCTGTTAAGAACAATGCCGTATTTATCCGCATACCTGAATGAAATAAACGCGCTGGTCCTTCTGGCTCGATGAGCTCCAACTGCTGTAAACAAGTTGTTGTTTTTCCTGCAAGTTTGAAGATTTTCCCACCGCTCTGTCGTCCTGCGTGGAGCCGAGGAGGGGTCCGAAAAACAGGATCCAGAGAGGAAGAACAAATGCGCACTCACGATCTGCAAAAGAGAGACGGACGGAGAGACAGACAGACAGACAGACAGACAGACATACTGCAGGAGGTGACATATGTGGTCGCTTCCATTTTCTTCTCGGTCTTTGAGGCACCACGAAAGGACGATCCAGACTCTTCTCAACACAACGCAGCCAAATGACATTTTCCGTTTGTCATTTTAAGCAAATCCTCGAGGTCCCTCGCGCACAAAGACGCAGACGTCTCATTCTCACCATCATGCAGTTCAGCTGATGCTGAATGTGAAAGGATCCGAACCTGAGGTAAGACGACTGGGAAACGAATTGATTTCTCTTTTTAGTTTTTCAGGAGGTTAAATTGGTGTAATTATTATCGATTTAAACCACAATCTCATTTTAATCCCCAAACGGATGCGTGAAAGAAATACACCTCAAACAGTTGGATTTTTCATAAGATTCCGAATGTGTTAAAACATTCAGGTAGTGAATAATTCAACGACACATCGTTTATTTATAACTGTTAATGTGCGTCACCTCTCTCCAATTGTCTCAAATAGATGAGGTTGAAACGGGCTTCTAGAAATAAACACCGAATTACGTTTGTTTTAATCACTCAGAGGACTTTACATCTCCCTCCATCTGCGCGCAAAAGACGCGCCCCACTGCGTCCAAATGAACCCGCATCACAAAAAATAAATCATTACGCAATTCATTTCTCCTCCACATCAAGACGAGCTTCACGTCAGACACGGAGAATCCTCCTCGTTTCCCCGCGTAATACTGTTATCAGATTTCCTGAAACGCCACACGTGTATTTTTATTCAGGTGGAAACAGATTTGCCGTCACGAGCTCCAGAGAAGCCTGCGCTCCATCACGTGATGGACGACGTGCGTCTGCGGCTCAAAGGCGCTCCTCGCAGGTAACGATCTCCGTTACTCTCTTTCTCAGTAATCTGCGGTGCAAAAGTTCCTGCTTTGGTTCCCCGACTCTGCGCCGTGTGTCAGACCTGTTCAGCTGGAAAAGCATGAAGCGATTTGAAGCGATTTGAAGTATGGGGCCTGTACCCGTGTTACTTCACCTGCAGCCCCCCCAACCCCCATTTTACGATCGGAAGCCATTTATTGCCACATATGTTACACATGGTGGAATTTGACTTGGTGCAATATAAGAATATAATACGATGTAGTAAAAATCAGATAAAACATATACAAGCTATATTTATTTACAGATAAGTAAAACACGTATGTATTTATGTCCATGTGTCCGTGGTGTGACCCTGTACCTTGGATCGCCTGTGGCTGGGTCACGGGTTAGATGTGTGCGAGTTAAGAAGTAGGCTTCTTCATCATCAGTGAGTCAGGAGCCGCAGACTTGGTGCTTCAGTCCCGTTGGCCCTCAGGGACTTCGGTGAAAACACGTGTGGTGCTGAAGCGCGCCCTCTGCTGTATAGATCAGTGAACTGCACCATACATTTTCAAACATTTGATTCAGATAGTTTTTTTTTTCAAAGTTAGCCAAAATTCTAACCTCTGAGCAAACAAAATATACCAGATTCTTAAATTAGGGGAAGTAGCTGGCGTACAAAAGTACGTTGAATATGTTATTGTATCAATGAAATGTTTTTATTCTGAAGATGTGTGTGGAGAGACTTCCTTTATTGACTCTAGATTAAGATATTTCCAACACAGAAATTCAGCTGTAAAAATTAGATTTAAACAAGAGAGGCAAATAATCATAAAATTACATCCAAAAGAAAACCTGCCATAAAACTCTGCACATATTTCCAACACTTTCATTTCAGTTGAGTTTTTCTATTTCGCCTGTTTTTCTTGTCCTCGGTGCATTAGTGGGGTTTAACACTCGTGTCCGTTGTGCCGAGTGTGTGCAGCAGCACTAGCAGTGATATATTCATGCATATATAAATGTTTACATCTTCTCATACTTGAATTTTGGTATTTTGTATTGTGTTTATTATTCCTTAGAAACGTATAGCTTTATATACACTAATATATAATATATATATACACACACACAAACAGCCCCAAGTACTGCATACTAACACCCAAAAACTATACACATATTTAAGTTAAACATCAATTTCAAAACCACCTTTATTCACTTCAGGAATGTTCTCTCTGGAGCTCGGTTCTGTTCAGCAATGAGAGGTTGTTCTCCGGCTTCCCGTTCATCCAGATGTGTTTCATGTGCAGGTTTCTTAAATGATTGACAACTTCATACCCGTTTTATATGCTCAACGTTTATTTATAGTATATCACCAGGCATCAAAGATACATAACAGCAACATATTCACATATGGAGTTTCCATAAAGCCTTTAGGCGTTGGTGGAATATTCCTCAAAGAGCCTTCTGACTGTTTATGAAGCGTAAACCAAATCTGTTACAAGAGATTTGGCACAAAGCCGTCGAACCACCGGAAAGTAAAGAATAGTTATGTGTTGAACATATGTATATGAAGTGAGTATAATGTATACAAACTGAGTAGAAAGCCATCAATGACAACCAGATATCGTTTAGTGATCACATGTCGAGTTGACTGGGGGTCCTAAGCCCACCGGGCACTGTTGCTAAAAACAAAACAGAAAGACACAATTACAAAATATATTTCAACTATAACTTTTGACATCTGTAGTGTGAACACAATTCAAAAACACGATGCCTCAAGCAATCATAGCCAAATGATTCAGGCAGACAACGGGGAAAAAAAAAAACCCATACAAAAATAATATAAAACTATCTGCACATTCAGGCACCGTTGGTCAGATGAGTGATTGACGAGACGAACCAGAACTCCAATCAGAACGCTCGGGCTTAACTGAATACATAAGAGGCGGGAAAAAAAAGCCTATATAATGCCTCACACCAAAGAAACCCATCAGTAATTGCATCTACACATCACATACGTAGTGCGGCCCCCCTACACATGTAAAAGGGAATAAAGTGTAAAGGATTAATCCAGTGACATTTTAACTTCCTACAATACAACATTTAGAAAGTCAAATACCTCAGTTGTGTATAAAACATAAAACCATTTTAGGAAGTGAAAAGAGAAGCACATTTCATAATGTTTAAGTTGACCTAAAATATTTTAGTGTATCATTCAGTGTTAAACATATCTGATTGTTTGTGTGCGCTTAGTGTATATTAGAAATTCTATTAAAAATGAAGAACTCTGTACGGCATCAGAAACTAGTGTCGAATAACATAACATTTCGAAAGCAACAAGTATGCATAGTGTATCATGAGCGCCATGCAAACATCCAATACATGTGGCACATCTCTGTTAACATTGCACATGTTTATATGATTTAGTTTGTCTTTACATTCATAGCTTTGGAAACTTCTGGGTATCGGTTCCTTGTTTTGGTTTGCTTATAATATTGTATGTGTATATAACTGTATATTTATATATTTCTTTAACTCCCTCAGTTATGTAAATTGCATAACACAAAAATATGGTGTTATGCAAGTCTTTTTGGATTCTATGGAATGCAGATAGGGCCCCCTAGTGGCAGGATCGTAGTACGACAGCAGCCTCTTTCAAATAAGTTACTGCTCACGTTTAGGTTTTATTCAGTTGCCTTTTCCAACTAACTGATTATATTGTAGTGTAAAAGAATAATGCCAAAAAACTACAGCAATTGGCAAATATTTTAGAAAAGTGCTTAATGTGGAACAGTCATATTAAACCTTATTCCTAGATGCAAGTTTAATTAAATGTGCTACGTAGCATGCATCTCTTACTATAGGATTCAATGATTTGGTTATAGATTCATCTCTAACATTCTGCTTCAATTGAAACCGCTTTTAGCGTAGTTTTGTTGCTCATTATTTTTCAGCAAAGACTTTAAATGTTTAGAAGGAGGGAGAAAGTTAAGAGGAAGCGTGGACGTGAGAGTCCCGGCTATGAAGGAAAAGCAGCAGTGGAGGGAAAAAAGCTCTTCTTCATTTGCACCTGGCGAGTACCGCCTGCATCTTCTCTTCCACATGCTGCATCCTCTCGGCCCACTCCTCGCTCAGACCCTCCTCGTCGTCTCCGATGACGGTGGCGTATCCCATGAGGGCGATGAGGCCGATGCAGAATAGGTAGGTGAGGCGCGTGCAGAGTCGCTCCATGGTGTGGCGGTCGCCTTGCGAGTGCGTCAGGTACACCTCCAGGATCGGTCTGCTGAAGAGCTTCGACTTGCCCACCACGCCGTCGTAGAGCGTGTGCAGGTTCTGGTCCCCCAAGTCGTTGGCGTAGCTCTCCACGAAGTCGTCCTTCTTGCGTTCGCTGTGCGCCGGCTGCGCGTTCACCATTTTCATGAACATCCGGAACTGGTTCTTCAGGTTCTCCTCCACGCAGCAGTACTGCCCGTCCAGCGTCTCTTTCTTGATCTGCACCAGCGTGTTGCTGTTCATCTGGGAGAGCCCATCCAGGGCCCGGTTGACGGAGCCAAACTCGTTCTTCAGGACGCGGATGTCCTCGTCGTCGACGTGGTGCAGCACCACCCGGATCAGAGAGCCCGCCACGCCAAAGATGGGGTTAACCACAGCTGCTGCCGAGGAGATGGTGGCCACGCACTGGAGGACTTTGACCAGGCCCTGCTTCAGCTTGGCATGGTCCTCGCGGATTTCCTCTTCCATCATGTTGTCGAGGGGCGGAGCAGATGTGGACGTCACCTTGTGCAGATGTTGCCGTCTGTGACAAAGAAAGATCGTAGTTGATTATCATTGATGGTCTTTAGCCTGACCAACAGTTTCACAGCTACAGATCAGCGGAGTCCACTTGTGATCCGTCAGAAACAACATGTGGACTGACACTATTCACACAGAGCTACTTTCATTTAGTTGCTCTCGTCCTGATTGATCATAATGGAATAGGAACAGGGGAAAAAAACTCCTTAAGTTGTTATAGCAAGACAGACAATGTGGTCCTGGTTAAGAGGATTCTCGAAACATTAGACAAAACAGGGATTCAAAAAGGGATATTTTTTAAACCAGGAAGTGAACGCATTCTTGTCCCTGGCTGGTTGCAGTTTTTGGCAGTGAAGGAGTTAACAGCCTCTCTGCTTCTGTATGTCAGAGCTCCATTCAGCAGCTCGAGTCTTTCAGCACCAGGCTGCTCCGTGTGCGTTTGGATGGACGGAGCCGATAGCTCCTCAGCACCAGCGATAGATGGTGCGCAGCGCACGCAGCTGAATGGAAAAGCAAGGCTGAGCCGATAGCAGCAGCTGATGGGGGAGGTGACGGAGCGCTGCCGTACGGTGGAAAGACAAATGTGCCGCGGCTGACTGAGCCGTAATACCCGTGCTAAAGTTGAACACATGACATGATTAAGATACTTGTGCGAGTGAAGAAGGAGCAGTGAGAACAGGATTAAAAACAGGCGTCTTCCCTCAAAGGCAAGCAGCATTTTGGACGGTTTGACACAGAGCCGCTTTAAGCAATAATATCCTGTCATCTTCTTCTATAACTCAGCGGGTGGCTCCGGCTCGGCATGCGTGCCACGGCACCGCGGACACATACCACTGACATTACAACACAGCCACAAAGATAAGCACAGCAGATGTGTTGTGCTGTGCTGTGCTGACACTGGGGACGCACACAGGACACAGCTGGGGACCACAAAGCCCTGCAGGTTCCTGTACCGAACAGGCTACCGTGTGTTTCCGTGTTATTTTTTTGTCCCTTTTTTAAATACTCATGTCCACCAGAGGGGGCAGTACTTCAACCTATAACAGACACCCGTGCAATGCACCATCCCATTTCAGCACCATCACAGTGGACTAAAACCAGTGATGCAGGATTTAACCCTTTAACTTGAGATGAACTATGCTTCTGAAGCATCTTTTTTGCACAACTTATTTGCAGTTCTGCTAAAAGCCATCGGCTCTGCCTATAAATGTCCTTTATTATAACTGCTGATAAAAAAGTTATTTACTTGACGGTTAACAGTAAATTCAATTCAAATGTGTATTTAAATGATTGTGTCCCTGTTTTCCAGAAGACATTATTAAACACTAACGTGTGGTTGAGGGGGGGGGGGGGGGGTCTTCTCAAACCAATCCTTCTTGTCACATCTGCTCATCTTTTACACTGGATTGATGATGAATGGATCATCAGCAGATAGCTGACCCATTCGTTTGGCAGACTCCTTGGTGCCGATCCTCACGTTGTGCCCCATGGCTTCTTAAGCGTGGGAGATCCCGGTTCTTTCTTTTGCGGACCGCCTGCACGCCGTATGACCATTGAACCTTATCTGCGCTTAGAATAAATATAAATCGACTTTTATTTTTCTCAATTTCTTCATTTAAGAGTTATAGGATTCACAATGTGCTATCTAATAGTTGTTCGGGTTACAAGAGGGAGTTAATGGAAGGGCTCATTACAGTCTATACAGCAGTTACCGCTTTGGAACAACATTTCCATAGAATAATACTTAGCAATGTTTAATATCAAAGTGAACGATTTTGGTAAAACTAGTTTTTTGATCTTCGTTCTTTGCATTTTGAGCTGCAACAGACAATTGACCCTTAGTTCAAATCAAATAAATTCATTTCATCTTTACCTACAAATACATGTCGTTACATCTTATAATCAACGCGAAGGCCGTTAAAGACTGGCGTTCAATTATGTTAGTTTTACATATAAAAATAATTAAGGGACAATTACAGCTGGTGATGGCTTGACCAATCACTGCTCTCCAGCAGCATGGCCTTTGAAAAAAGTCCACGTCTCAGAGAGAAACTCTACAGGCCCAAAAGTTGTGTCCGGGTGACTCAGCTTCTGCAACACTGTGCCTCCACACACACACACACACACACAGGTTCTACGGAAATGTGACGTTTTGCTCACGAATCATTTGACTCCGCGTTGGCTGTAAACAAAGCTTCTCTCTGTGTCTAATGAGGAAGAACAACGCTGTTCTCACCTGCGGCGCAGCGGCCATCTTGAAGGTTTTCTGTGATAGCAGCAATGCTAGGCTAGCCCACCCCCATTTACACGTTGTATTCCATTAAAAGTATATATTTGGCACATAGTCGTTTTTCTAACACGTTTAAACGATTTCCTGCCATTCCCTGGTGGCGCCCGACAGTTTTCTCTTTGTTTACAGATCACAGGCCGTGTGGCAGTTGGGACACTTTCCTCAGGAAGTGTTCGCCCCGTGAGGACCGCGGCTCAAACAATGCGTGTATCAAATCAAAACAAATAAACAATGAAGTGATCTTCCGGAGTTCTTCTGATTGTGAGTACTATAAAACAAGCAGAGCACCGTCTGTGCTCACAGCTCGGGCCCGGACAGCCGCCTCCCGCCTCAGCTATGGCTCCCCCTAGCCGTGCCTCCATGTTTCCACAGTGCCCTGGCCCTCCCAGCTCAATCACACCACAAATACACCAAAATACATCAGAAAACCTCCATTCCTCTGTCTAAATGTGGAATAAAGAGTCTATACCTGCTTATCGGATTGTATTTGGCGCCATTGGCCATAGAAGGAGGTGGTATTTCTTACCTTTTGAGGGTGGCTGTTGCTACACTTCCCTCTCCAAAGGCTCAACCTCGGTAGCCTCCTTCTTCTTCCCAGCAATCCCTGCAAAGAAAAGGACACTTCCATGTAAGTTGACTATGTAGGGGTGAACAAATTGGACAAAATTGATTAAAAAGGGCCCATATAACCCCCAAACCCCAGATATTGCCTTTTTGGCTCCAATTAGAAATAACCTCAAGATTGCAATTTTAAAATGACACGAAAATACCTTTAAATAGTAAAAACCCACTCCTCGAACACACCATGTCCCACCCCTGTTGTTTCAACTTATTGTGGTCCATCCAGCGCTCATACAGTTGATACTGAAGAGCAATTGTCAGTCAAGGCGCAACTGGGCACTGTGGCGCTTTATGCGTCGCTTTGTGCCTTTTCCAAGCCTTGAAGCATCTCTGGAGGGCTACAGACGCCCCATTGGTGGTATTTATGAGTCGAAGAGACCCTTATTGTGTGGACTGGATCGCAATAGTTGGGAAGAAAAATACTTTCATGAGTTTAGAATCATACTAGCAAAGAGACAGCTAAAGATCCAAACGGACCTCTCCAAAAGTGCACAGGTGCACATAGAGCCCTCTAAAATCCTTTGGAGAAGAAGGAGAACGTTTAAAGAGTGTAAACGTAATTATAATAATAATTCCATTCAAATGTTACCAATTACACTGAAAGATTAAAGGCTACATCCAATAAATGTCGAATTTAAATTATTTCTGGAAACGTTTTTGATCCTGAATGGCCCCAACAGTGCTTTAGATCTTGAAGTAAATAACTGCACGTATCTGACTACATTTTAAGTACTTGGATAGAGGTTTTGTAATACTAGCATCCCGAAGCTCACAAAGTGAAATGGTGTATTCAGAAGACCATTAAGGAGGCAACGACCTGAGCTTTAACGCACCGATTAAAGCGCGCCACAGTAGCCATTTGTCTGGTGCTGTACAGAAGTCAAAGAGCAATAATCTAAGCATGTAGCACAAAATATAAACGTATATATAGTCCCATATGCAAAAATCCACGCTGTCAAATCCACTGGATCCGTAAACGCGCAGCAGCCGCGCGGGCAGTTGAAGCTGTTTTCCCCAAAAACAAACCTAGATGCAAAGTCAGTTGGCAGCTGCAAGCAACGTTGAAGAACAGCCCGGTCTAATGTCTGCTCTATTTACGTCGTATACCACAACAGCAGATAGCCGCCGATATAAAGGGATTCTGCCTCGCTGCGTGTCCGGATCTGACGTCTGCAGCAGGTTAAAGAACCCGTATTCCCTCATATCCCCCCAGGACCCCGAGCCTCGAGAGCAGCCCGAGAGGGGAACCGTCCTCTCCAAGGCGAGAGGATGAAAATACACTGAAAACACGACTGTCCGTTAGAAATCTTTAGTCATCTGCTCAGACAGTTGGTGAAAGCGGGCGCATGACGTGTCCCTCTATTCAGCAGCCGGAGCTGGAGCCGGACGCGCGTCCTCGATGCGCAGCAGCAGCGGCAGCTGTCGGACGCGTCGCCTTTCAGACCGCAGCCGCGGAGCGACGCAAACACCAACTGCGCTGCAACACCTGCGCTGCAACAACTGCGCTGCAACACCTGCTCTTGTGCAAGGTCGGCGGTCAAAACGCGTCACATTTAGGCTGATGGACGACGAACGGCTTCTGTTGCAAGACTTGTTTTTGTTGTTGGGGAGCAGGGGGGCAGAGGAGCTCTCTGTTTGAACATTAATCATTTTCTGTGCTTTAAATCATCCGTTTTTCTTACTGTACGCCTATTTACAGGGATAAAACACTGCATTTCACAATTTACTAAAAGAATACCTCATTTTTTGTCGGATTTTAATTCAACGTGTAAAGAATTTAAAATAAAACAAATAAAACAAATGGAAATCTTGTTTTTCTTTTTATGTCATGTTAATTCTTCATTTGTCACAAGCAGATGTTGTTCCCGTAATTTAACCACCACCTTAATTATAGGGATGGATGTTTGACTCAACAGGGGCCGTACAGTTGCTGTTTTATGAGAATAGTACTGTGGCATAGCTTAATATTTCCCCAAGTATTATACTCAATCTCCATCTAGGTGTTTTCTATAGCTTGCACTAGGAAAAGTTTAAAGGAAAAACAAGATAGAACTTTGAGAAATCCTGTCCAAAGTGAGATGAATGCAGTGTTTTTCACAGGGATAATTGAACAATGGAGAACAAAGAAATGACTTCCTAGCGCCTGGAAGCAGCCATCCGGGCCGCCCTCTTCCTTCTCTGAGCCCCTTTTGTCTGTTCGGACGACGGCCCGCCCTTCTTCTAGTATCTGAGGAAATCCAGAGGTCAGGAAGGACTGAGGAGTAAGTGTTCACCGAGTGCAATTCATGTTTTTATTCAGGGCTGAATCACATGTGGCCAAAGACAGTTTGTCAATGCAGTGAATTGTATCATAATGTGATGTCAGAAAATGAACATATAGCAGAAGGCAGGTAGAAATGTCTTTTCAGAGGCAGAACTCATGTCAACACCTCAACATTCAAACATGTCCACGCGGGTCAATAGTATAAGGCCTAAGCATATGTTAAAAGGACTTAATGACATTCTTCTAAAATGTAAACTATGTCTAATGTTGGATGTTTTTTTGAAAAAAGTAGTAAAAGTAATAGTATAGTGTGTCAAAAAAAGTCAATAAAAAAAAAAAAGTATATATATTACATCAAAAATGTAATTAAAAGTATTGGTACAGGACATGAAAAAAGAGATGTGTGTATGTAAAGAAATAATAGTATTACGCTTTTCTAAAAAAAAGCTATTAAAAAAAGAAAGTATGTTCCAAGACTCATATATATATATATATATATATAGTATCTCCACAAAACTCCTAGTATCGTATAACCAATAAAATAATATTGTATTGTTTGCCCATAAAAGGATCCTATCATTAAGAGTCATATTACTACTCCAAACTCAAAAGTAAAAACAAATATATAAATGCATAAAAGTTTTAATGTTAATCTTTGGAACAAGGAAAAAAACTAAAATCTGGGACGGCAAGGCTTAGATGTGAAACCCGATGGGATTGATAAACTTGCTGATCATCTTCTGACGTCATCCAGGGTGCAACAAGTCATTGATTTGGCTATTCAGTCAAGGAAAGGTCAAATATCTAAATGATAAGATGAGGAATGATCAAACAGAAGTTACATGATTACGTTAGAATATCCCAAACAGAAGTAAAAGCAGAAAGAATAGTCCCTATGAGTAAGTGTACTGTGTCAAGTATTTCTATAATTTATAGCATAATATGTAAAAAAAACAAAACGCCATGTTAGTGTATCAAAAAGGAAATTTGTATCTCTAAAAATGTTCTGCTTGTATGACATGAAAATCTGTTGTATGGTTTGTCCAGAAAATTCATAATTTATTGATGAATTCAGAGAAAAGTGTGATGAAAAAAAAACCATGAAGGTACAGGATTGGGAAAATATTTCACTTAATCTATTATATATTTCTAATTTTTAAAAATCCCTATATGGTGTGTTAAATAAAGTTATTAATTAACAATATATTGTGGCTAAAGTATATGTTGAAACAAATGATAAACAGTATATTATGTCGTAAAAAATTATTTAGGAAAAAACATAGTTTAGTCTTTTAATAAAAGTCATAAAAATTAAATTATTTCTAATGTATTTCAATATATTTCTCTAAAAAGTCAGACAATAAGAAATGTCATAGTATAGTTCTGAATACCGAATTTATTTATGAAAATGTTTCTATATATTATGTCACAAAATAATCACAGCAAGGCCTGTTGAACAAAGTGATGACAAAGTAAAGTAATAGTTATAGCTAATATAAAATTAGCTGAGATGCAAAATATCACATCACCAAAAAGTCATTTTGTCTGTCGAAATTATGAATAGTATAGTCCAGCAAAGTGACGAACAAATCTTAATTAAGTCTGTTATTTTATAAGTCATCGTCAAAGTTATAGTGTAGTACACTATGTCAAACAAAATAGTATGTCGAAATAAAGAATAAAAAGTCATAGTATGTTGCAGTACAGTATGAAGCAAATAAGTGATAGTATGTTGGAAAAACATATATTAAATTTCAAAAACTCAGTCATAAATTAATAATGAAAAAGTCCTTAACGTATGTTGAAAAGAGTAATAAATCATAAAATAATCTGTCAAAAACGTTCTGATTACAGAGCAATACAATGTGACATTTGTATCATCATCCAATAGAACAGTGTTGCCCTGTCCTCTGCATTCAGATGAACTCCATTACAGAGGCTGTAGTTTCAGGTACAGCCTGTATCGATCCAGCGGCTGTCACATTAGAACTAATGAACTTTATGTCCTTGGATCAGATCTGCAGTCGCGTTCCTACAGACATGCAACGCAGCACATGAAAGGCCCAATGAAGAAAAAGAACACATCTATGAAAAAGTAGAAAGTGTGGAGTTTTGCTCAGTGTTGGTTTTTATATTTCAATCATCCTCAATATAGGTTCAAAATTTGGGGACCGTATCGGAAGATGGGAAATCTCAACTTCAACACAACAAATGCATAAACCGCCCTGTGTTCCCTGTGAATGTCCTTATGCTGTGCAACTACAGCGCCGCCGTCCATCAGCTGCACATTATTCCCCCGCTGTTGCCGTGGGGTCCCGCCCGGTTAGGTTCCGGTGGGTCTCTTGGCGCCTCCGTGTCCTGGAGCAGGTGCGCGTAGTGCACGGGCTCCGCGTGGTGGCGAGCGTTCTTCCGAGCGTAGTACCGCTTGGACGCCGCTCTCCACGCCTCCCGCTGCAGGGACTGAGACGCCTCCGGTAAATCCGATATCAGCGTCCTCCTCCTCTTGTCCGCGAAAGAGATGGGATGAGGGTACCTGGAGTCTGTGACGTGCGAGACGGGGCCCGAGCGCGGGAAGAACGGGCCCAAGTGGGACGGGGCGGGGCCCGAGGGCGCGAGGAAGGGGCCCGGCCGCGATGGGGCGGGGCCCGGCCGCGACGGGTGCGCCTGCTGGCGGGCGACCTTCCGGGCATAGTAGCGCCTTGAGGCCGCTCTCCAGGCTGCCCTCTTCTGTCTCTGAGCCTCCTCCGTCAGCTCAGACATGGGCACGCCCTTCTTCTTGTTCCTGGGGAGGTCAAGAGGTCAGAGAGGACAAATCATCAAAAAAGATGCTGCCCATAAAATATTATAGAAGAAATGTTCACAACTGCATCGTACAGGAACAGTGTGGCACCTCCCAGCAACCCCCCCCAGTCCAAGCAGGAGGGGACATCAAGCACACATGCGTTAAAAACGACCCACGTAATGAGATCAAAATTGAAAAAACACTCATGATGCAGTGATTTGGACCAAAGAAGTACACATTTAGTTTTGGAAATGTTTATTTTGTCACACATAACATAAACCATATAACCCACAGTGACCTGTGAAGTGCATCTGGTGTAAATGTATGAAATGAAATGAAACAAAAGAAAACTGATTCAGTCACTCATGGGTACAGTGTGAATTGCCACCTTAGTGCATACATGTCGCACATACATGTCGCACAAATTACTCTTTCAACAACAGCTGGTGATTTCTCACTCTTTTCCATTTGGGCACAAATTGCACCTCCTTCTCTTTTATTGCCGCCGCTGCCCCCCCAATTGCATATCTTCGGTTTGCTGGACACGCACAAGCTCCTCGGCTATGGTCACCGGGGATGAGCTCTTTTGTCCCTCTAAATTGGTGAATTTCAAAACCTCCTAAATGATAAACAAAACCCAGGCCTCGTTTGGGGAAATGGTTGTTGAACCAGATGCAGGTCCTGAGCCGCTCCTCGGGCTTCTAGACCCTAGATTTCTAGACACGCCCACAACTCCAGCTTGACCATGTGTCACATAGTCTCGGTCATCAGCATCAGAGATGTCAGAATCAAGAGTTGCTTCATCTCCCTCCTCCTGTTCTTTGTGGCGTCTCTACGACCATTTTAGATGTAAATCTGGCATAACTGCGTAGAGCTGTACCAACACTGGGGATATAATTATTAAATAACTCACCTGAGGTGTTCGTCATGGGGGTCGTAATAACCGCCTGGATCTGCATGGCGGTCCTCATTAAAAGTTCTTCTCTCCATCTCTTTCTCTAGGTGTTCTAAAGGGATCAGAAGGAACATGCACACTTAGTTATTGACACAACTGCTACTCTAATCATTTGTCCAGTGACAGCCGGAGAAACAGTGATGTGACTGATGTTTGGGAATATGCACGTGTAACAGGGAGGACAGAAGGTAGGGTGCATCACCGTTTACGCTGGGGCTCTGGTGGTCCTGATACGGATGGCCAGCGCTCTCATGAAGCTCCCCAAAACTCTCTTCACTCATTTCCAACTTGATCAAAACCGGAGCGATGTCACACGGCTCTTCTTTGATGACAAAGCTGCTGGGAGACATCGGCAGATTGCCAGCTGCCTCCGACACATCGGAGGAATTGGAGGAGAGGGAGATGCAGGACCGGTCTGTTCTGGCACGAGATGACGGCGGAGCCGACAGCTGGCTTTGGGGGGAGACTTGTGAGGGGGGGTTTGCAAAATGGCCTACTGTCGAGAAAAATAGATTAAAAAAGTTTAAGCCATTGTATGTGTATTCATAGATTTTGAGTCTGTGTAGACAAACATACACCAATACATGTTTGATGCAAATAAAAAGGGGATGTTTCCTGTTCACAGCAGCATGCACATTCCCAGTGTACCTGACCAATTGTAAAATAAGTGCTTATCCATCGTGGTTGTATTGAAAAAGAATATTTTGTATATATATTTAGCCTTTTATGGGCGAGGCACCACACAGTGGAATAAAAAGGCAACTCATCAAAAACTAATTCCACACATATCTTTAACACTTCAGATAAATCCTCCCCGACTGATGAGCAAACAAATCCTATTATTGCTCTTCAATCATAAAGGCTCCTCAACTTTCTTTTTTAGGGAAATAAAGCCTTTTTATCGGCATTTCGAGCGATCAATGCTCACCGGACGTCCTGAGTTACACAGAAAGCCTTCCCTTCCGGTTGAGTTTCTGGGGAGGAACTAATGTCGAAGTTGTTTAGGTCTGTCGCTCCTCCCCACCGGCGTCTATTGGCTGAGACACTGACAGGATAAACAAGTGCAAATGTCGAGTTTGAAAACCGGTACTAACACCTCTCCAGCTTTGTTCCACTTCCCTTTATCAAAGTTAGACTTTCTTCATCCTACATCTTTGCCTCGTTTGTCTCTGTCAGAGGGAAATTGTTTGCACAGAAACACTTCAAATGTTGGTGTGATTTATATTTTCCCACCCATACTAAGAATGCGACCAGTTTAATATCCTATGCACTCATATTTACGCACCATTGATACTCATTTCATAATCCTGCTGCTCGGCTGTCATCTCCGTGTCGATGCAGCTCAGTTCAAACCCGCTCCCCTCGATCGTCTGCGGGTCATCGGGGGTCCGAGAGCCAACCGGGCTGCGCTCCCCTCCGAGCAGTCCGCAGGTGAATCCCCGTCGGCGGAGCACCTTTACCTCGCACTCCATCTCCGAGAGACTGCTCTCCAGCCGACGGATCTCTTTGTCCTTGTCGGCCACCATCCGCTGGTACTCGCGAGTCCTGGAGCTGTTGACGCCGTACAGCACGTTAATTATCGAGTCTATCGCCAAGCGAATGGCGTTTTCCACCACGAGAGCTTCTTCGTCGCGCAGGTGTGGGTGCAAAGTTTGGTTTTTGAACAAATTCATCGTCAAAATATGCGAACGTGTGGTTTGATGTTGACAAGCTACAGTGCTAGGCTACCAGACGCTGTCGGGCTGCCTGCAACGCGCCGCGCCGCTTTTCACATTTAACGCACGAATCCGAGGCGTCCCCCCTGATGTCCACTGAGGGCCAAACAAAACGAACGAAAGGCAGACGTGTGTCGAGCTCACGTTTGTGAGGCTAGGCTAGTAACGTTTACACCAGAAAGGCTTCCTGCTTCCGTCTACTTCTTCGGCAGCGAGGCGTGTCCCCGGATGTCGGCCCGGCGTTCACAGCGCCGCCTGGTGGCTCGTTTGGCGGCTTACATCGACATTACAGGCGCACTCAGGGATCGCGTGGCCGTACAACAAAAGACACAACCACTGCAATGACATTATTATCGTTACTGTCAAATAATTGAATCAGGTCAATTTGTCTCTTTTGGAAAACCAAACGCCATGAATTATCATAACATGGTAAAAATAGAATGAACTGGTATAAAAAAAAACAGAACAGACCGACCCATAAACTTTAAGGCCTGATCAAATGTGGGCCTCAAGTTTAGCCTTAAATGCATCTACAGAAGGGAAACACTTGAATGAAAATGGTAAAAAGTTACAACACTTTGCATGCAAGCTCAAATTCAATCGCAGTGTTCTTTCAGAGGAAGCTGTAAGTTACAATAAGAGCAGAAGAACTATAAGTAAGGAAAAGTCTGCAGGAAATAACTACCGGTATGTATTCCACTATCAGTGCATTTCACAATTTTAGGATCTGCAGATAGTAAATGATTTTCAAGTGTTTGGGATGTATGAATTACCTTAAAAATGCATTTACAGTAGTCTTTAACACAAAGTAACGGTCCAAACAATCATGCCTTTCCACTGAAGAACTATTCCTATAAAAACACATACTACATACTTACATGAAGTGTAATATCAATGTTATACATGCTGAGAGAGGAAGGTGCAGGAAGCTTTCTTGGCCCATGGCTTCTTTAATGACTTCAATAAATACAAAATTAAACAGCAGTAAAATGTATTTAAAATAGACAGGGTATTAGAATCTTTATAATAAAAAAATTTGGGTCGGTATCAAAAGTATAGTGTGAACATGTTTTGAACGGATAATAATCTTTTGAGCAAACCTCCAGATCACCTAACAAAACACAAAGAAACGATACTGAACTCCTCACCCAGACACAAACAAGAGAAACGAAACAAAACCCCTACAAGCCTTCCCCAGAATGCAACTCTGCATGAGGACACACCTCACACAGCAGCAGCAGTTTATGTGGAGCTTTTGCAGATCACCTGATTCTCACCAGGGACTGAGGAGCGCAGGCCTGGTACAGAGTCCCCTGCACGCAGAGTTAAGTCGGGGGAACTCTAGACTTTCTTCTGGATCTCTTGCAGCGGTTCTCTGAAAGCTGCAAATGCTCCTTTTGTGGATTATCATAACATTAACATGTGTTGTTTTCTGAAATGATAAATGTCGGAGGTAAATTATGGCTAATACATTTTTCAATAATATATAATGACTTAAAATATCCACGGTAATGTGCAGATTACTCAGCTTCAATCACAACTCACCCATCAAGCATCCCACTCAAAGTCCGAAATGCGAGTTATAAGGGTTAGGACCTTCGGGTTCACTGCGTTGTTCCTTCTTTTTTCCTGGACCTCCACTTTGGAGCCCTTGTCGGGGTTGATCTTGAAGATGCACCTTAGTTTGACAAAAGTAAAACCAGTCAGATATCAGCAGAACAACAATGTCACTAAGTAGTGCACTACTACGCGGGAGGGCTGAGGTAGAGGGGGGGCGGGGAGGGGGTGATATAAATACCGCCGATGCCATGGATATATTTGGGTATTTGACCACCCTAATGAAAAAGATAATAATCAACATTTTATGTCGACTGTGCAAAGTGGCCCATAGAGTTGTGATGAACAATCATCATTTTTAAACAAATAGGATTTCAAATTTCCCTTTGTCGTCAGTAAGCTGTACTGGGTGTCTGGAGATTACACAATATATATTTTATATATTATTGCTTAAACATAATACAATTATAGATTAAATGTGAATCAAGCACATTTTTACACCTTTCAACCAATAGAGGAGTTATTTAAATTCAACTAAGGTGCATGTGTTTATCTATTTCAGACTAGTACCAGTTTTTGGTACCTTAAGGACCAGAAACGTCCCGACCAGAGGATCATTAAAGCACATTCACCTTTGAAGAAACTCCATCGTGACCGCTACGTCCGCCGGGTACGGCAGATCGAAGACGAAATAACAGACGAACATGGCGATCAGCGCGTCGGTGAAGCTCGCCAAGTCCTCCAGTATCACCTCCTGGTCCACGGCCACCATGAAAGCTGCCGCAGAGAACGGACTCGCTCCTGCAAAACGAGCCGTGCAGCAGAATCCTGAATCAGCTCAGATGCGCCTGCAATGCATTCAGGGGCGCACGCGAATTCCACCGCCGCTCACTCACCACACGCCACAATGCACGGCGTGGCGGGCAGCCGCTCCGTCCGCACGCCGTCCGCCGCGTCCGCCACGTGCAGCATCCTGGCGGAATCCTCCTTGAAGTGCGAAAGCAGCGCCATCACCGCCCCGCAGGCGCCGGCCCGGCCCTCCGGCCCGCGGCCCGCGGCTCCGCCCGACCGGAAGTAGTCGAGCACTCTGGCGAATTTTTTGGCCATGGCGTCCTCGAAGCCCTCGTCGATGTCGACGCCGGTCAATTGTGTGAAGTGCGCCTTCATGCCGCTGAGGGAGAACAGGTAGGGCCACTCCCCCTTCAGGGCGCGCGTGTCCATACCCGAGCGTACGTCGCTCCTCTGACACGCGAAGGTGTCCGACATCCACTGCTCGACTCGCTCGGCGCTCCCCTCGCTCTTCAGGAACATTTCCTGCATGCCCCTCTTCTTCTTCTTCTGCGCTTCCACGCGCGCCGGCCCAAGTTCCTGCTGGATACAGCCGTAAGAGTTCCTCCGGCGCTTCCTTTTTCGTGCCGCGCCGTCGCCGCCGCCGCCGCCCCCCGGAGGCCGTCTCTGCTTTTCCCACATCGTCTTCCGCTTGCAGTTCTCCACCCTGTACTGAAGTTGCTTGGTTAAAGAGTCGTACCCGCTTCCGACGACCTCGTCCTCTATGATGTCTGTGAAGGACTTCGGGTAAGCCAGCACCATCTTCCGTGCAACTTCCTCGAGGTGCCTCTTGGACGGGTTTTTGCACACGTAGAGGATTTCGGCGGCGACGATGCGAATCATCTCCCTCCTTTCCGAGGCCGTGGGCCGCTCCTGATTGTCTAATTTCCTGCTGAGCGTGGTGGAAAGCGTGCTCCAGGGGACTTGGAAATGGTAGTGCCAGTCATTGTTCAGTTGTCCACGGAAGCTGGAGCTCTCCCTATCGGGCGGAGGGGGGACCAGGCTTCCGGATGAGCCCCGAGAGGAACGGGCTCTGCCTCGCCTGGGGGCCACCCACTGCGTCTGCACCAGCGCCCGGGGGCAGCTCGCGAGGGCGTCTTCCGTGTTTGAGTGGCTCGCGCTGCTCCGAGCTGAGAAGACACCGAATGAAGCACCAATCGGTTACAAAAGGTACACAAACAATTGTCTCCCCTTAAGGCTGCCGCATGCGTCTGCGTTGACGCACTCGTTTCAATTCATGGTTCTAAAAGTCTTGCGTGTGTTGCAGAGCAATTCACCGCCAGAACAACAGGGGGAGTAACGTGTCTTTGTTGAAGACGACCTAGAGAGTCACGTCTTTGTGTGTGGAAGTTGTTGGTTTGTTTGTTTATTTATCATAGACTTTATTGCCCCGTGCATCGCCACTGCTGCTTTTCATCGCGGACACATTTGTCCCGTATTTTCCTCTTTGTGCACCTCTCGACCGGCAAACCGTCGTTTGTGGACATCTCCCTCCATGAATCAGAGGCCATCAGCGTGTCCTTATAGTCCGCCAATGACGGCTTGTAGAAGTGGTCATATTTACGTTTTGTTTTTTTCCCGGCAAAAGTTCTTCAATCGGATTCATTCTCTCGCAACAAATCTTCGTTTTAATAATGGCGGTATTGTGCTATGAAAGCGGAAATGTGAGACTCCGTAAAGGATGTAGTTAGCAGACCAATCGCAGCCTTGTGGGCTGCAGGAGGCTCGCGTAGCTTTTGACGGTAGTCTAGAAAAATGGGTCGACGCACTCAAGCGTCTCTCTGAAAACGCAGAAGCATAAACTAGGCTTTAGTGGGGGTAGATAATTCTTCATGAAATGCATTGATTTTACTTTTATTCAAATAGCCGCCTCTTTGTTTCCACATTTGCCAATAAACACAGGTTAGAAAGGTCAAATCAGAGGCCTTTTTTTAAAGCCGTTGGCTAGCGGACACATTCGGTCAATCAATTGGGAAGAGAGATGCGTTTTCCCTTTCAATAAGACACTGGACAGAAAGGACACACTCATAGAACGCTTCGGCCCGTGACTTACTTTTCAAACGTGCGCGAAGCTTCCTTGTTTGAATGGGCTCGAGTACGTCGGCGAGGTCGTCCGTCCGGGTGGGCATCACGTTGTCGTGTAAGGCGTCCTCATTCGTGTGCACTGCTGGTGTGGACCTCCACAGCGCCTCCTTGATAAGAGTGGCCATGTCATCTTCCACCGCTGAATGAGGGGAAATAGACGGCCGGTGAAACGGTGACAGGGATGTTTGGATCATTGCAAAAAGTACAATGTGGTGCCGCCGGATACGGGTATGCAAAAAGGAGAAGCCTCGCAGCTTCTCCAACTCAATGGAGCCGGCTCTCCTGCATCCCAGATGACCCTTTCACAGAAGGGAACCCTCTGTGAGCTTTTACCACCAGCCACGTGAGGAGAACCTGCGGCTGTGTGGGAGGCACGTTTTACCACCTCTCTTTTTCCTCAACCTTATGTGCCAAATCATTTCAGAATCCACTGGTGCTCGGGAAAGAGATCAGAATACTGATAATTTGCTCACAAAGTATTTCCCTCTATCTCTCTGTCGTCTGCGGCTTACTTTCTTTTGCAGGTTTCCCCGCGTGCAGATGTTCATTTTCATCCAGAAAAGTCCCCTCACACAGCTCCCATTTGATGCCCGTCTCCATGTCAGAAGATTCCTCTTTGATAAGGGAGGGCAGGTCTCCGGCTGCTCCCCCACCCTCGCACGAAGGCGTCTCGGTCTGCTCGTGTTGGCGGGGAAAGGCCCCCACCGCGCCGCTGCCCTCTTTGGGAATCGGCGTGGGCGCTGTGGCATCTCGACCTGATAATCAGAAAACAGTGGGTGGGCTTCCTGTGCCGTAAAGGTGGCGACACCACAAGGTAGAAATACCACGTAGAAGTGAGTTAGTTCACAACGATATGGGTCAAAGGATCCAAAGATCACGTTATACGTTATAATTGTATTGTAACTAATGATGCATTAATGCACATTCGTGGAGTGAATAGTAATTACTTTATATATTACACGGTAGCTTCGTTTATACCAATACAGTAGTTAAAAGTATCATTGAAAGGAAAATACTACGCGCGCGCCCACTCACTCACTCTCGCTATCGGAAACCGGCTCGCCGAACTCCAGCTGCGTCTCGCCGGAAGGAGCGCGCGCCCCCGGCTGCGCGTGCCTCAGGCGCAGCTCCACGCGCAGCAGCCTCAGCTCATGCTCGCTCCTCTCCAGTCTGCCCTCCAGCCTCCAGATCTCCCGGTCCCTGTCGGCCACCATGCTCTGGAACACGCGCACCCTGCGGCCGCACGCGCCGCGCACCGCGCGCACCGCGGCGCGCAGAGCCGCCTCGATGGCGCGCTCCACCGCCGCGTCCTCCTCCTCCTCCTCGCCCGGTGAACTCGCGTGTGACTCGGGCGGCTCGGCGGGTCCGCTCATGGTTTCTCGCCCCCCGGTTTCCCGCCGCGAATGTGACCACGTCGCGCGGTTATTCTCGGAGGAGTTGTTCCCTTAGACACAGATTAAACGCGCACGAGATTAACGGTTCTCTCGCGGGGTTCGTGGATCGTGTTTTTGCTTTTTTTCTGTTTCTTCTTCTTCTTTCTCTTCTTCTTCTTCTTCTTCTTCTTATTGACAGACCGACATTTGAGGCATTACCGCCACCAACTGGTGAGGACAGTGGACGTCTGATATTTACATTATTTAATAAAAAGGGGAGCTCATATTTGATTGATATGTTGGTTTGTTTAAGATACTGAAATATTATTTGATAATTCTTACTGTTCGAGTTCTTCTGCAGAATGTGTATAATATCAAAATGCACTTTTGCCCCGGTGAGGTTTCCAATTAATGTCTTCTTTCTTGTTTATATTTGTCTCTACTGGGTTTTATAAGGTTATAAAAACCAAACTGAGTTTTGGAGGGAATTTAGTTTTTCTGAGAAAAAACAAGACATAAAACAAACATGAAATACTAAATTCCCATTTAAGAAAAATACCACAACTAAAGAACCAGTAGACAATGATATAAAATATTTTAATTGGGAAGCGCGAATTGTTGTTGTTATTGTTTCTCTAAGAAGCAGAGGGGATAATATGCACAGCCGTCACAACAGACAAAGATTATTGATAACAACAATAGTCATACAAATAATATCATGCATAAAATTTAAAAAACACAACTAATTGAAAAATAAAACGATCTCAAAGACGTTGGTGGAATTTCAACTTTAGTACAGCCCCAAATCACTATTTACAAATGCAAGGTAAGCGTTTAACAAATAAGCATAAGCATTCATGCAAGTAAGTACATGGAGGACATGAACGCAGACGTCCAAAATCGGAAGACCTTATTTACCTAATCTCAATGCCTACAGGCAAACAGGGACAAAAATACTAAGTAAACCAAAAACATACTCTTCAACATGACACCGAGGTAGCCAATGGAAATGTGCTACTTGGAACACGTGACCTACAGCACATGAGAGCGCATGCCTGCTTGGTACCACTCAATAGAATATTGTGATTGAGGTTTTGAAATCTTCCGAACCAACGGGCCGTTTCTTATTCCTCTTGCAGGGAATTAGATGGAACATCTAGGCTGCCTCCTTGGGAGAGTAAAACAGGAACAAATCCTGCTGCTGTTTTGTTGAGAATGCAGTAATCAACGCAGATAGATGGTGGGGGACAGTCATCAACGGGACTGCTCGGTAAGCTGCACTCTGGGCTTTGGGTCGGATCCGCACAGCTGCAGCCGGAGTCTTCGCTGCTGATGTTGAGGAAATCTTGAGGTAGAGCGGAGACGACTTCTGCCTCTTCAGCGGCAACACCCCAGGCGGAGCAATGGAGCCGAGTGTAAGGCGTTCCCACTGGACAGGCCATGGCTAACGGCGGCGTGGCCTCGTGTACCCCGGGTAAGCCTACGTAGGAGGTATGGCACTGAGCCAGGGCCAGGTGTGTCATCGGGTTGAAGAAGACCCGGTGCTCCTCTGGGTCCTTTGTAACCGGTTTAGGCTCAACAATCACAGCATCGGTTGTCAGCATCTCCTCGGTTTTGTATGTCAGCGCGAATTTGCCTTGGGGCTGAAGCCATTCCTGCAAAGTCAGAAGCACGAAAATACGTTACATTGAACCGTCGCACACGTTACACACAACTTTGACAGATTGGATGGACGTTTTTTTCACAATATATACACATATATGTGTGAGTGAGTGTGAACCTCTGGGTCCGTCCGCGACCTTTCGTCGCCGTGGTGATTATTCTCAAGCCCTTTTCACTCGGTACGCCCCGTTTCTGATTGCTTAGGTGTTGCGCTTTCGTCTGCACTTTGCACAAAAGATCGAGAGAAGCCCGAGAAGACTTCGTCGCCTCACCTTGAGATCGCCTCCATGTTGTTGAAATAAAGGTTGGAAGAAAGGAGCCGGTGTCGGTGTCTGGGACAGAATTTGTATCTTCTTTCTGTAGTAAAAACCAAATGTACTTTTTCTTTCCAGAGCAGATCACGTTGAATAGGATAATCTCAAATTGCAAACATTTAGTACAGATGATTTACCTTATAGCAGGTTTGTTGAGTACAAACAGCATGACCCCGACAGCCAGACACACGGGGCCCAGAGATTTGATCAAAATGAATAACTTATTATCTTCGTCTTCTTCTTCTTCGTCTTCTGAGGAGGAGTTGTGGAATACAACGAATTAGATAAGAATTTGTGAGTCATACTACAGAAGTTATTCTATTGTGGCTGATTAATCATTATCAGAATTGTTGGTTTGTTTAGTGTCATCGAGCCTCTGTCACGTGTCAAATGTACCTTCTCCATTTTTCCAGCACGTCGTTGGACTCCACTCACTCCAGATCCCTTTATACTCCCTTGACTTCGGTTTAGATCTCACTTTAACGCAATATGTAGCGTGACGTTTTAATTCCGACATTAAAATCAACAGAGATTTATTGAGTGAATTGAGTTGAGAGGTCTGAGGAAAAGAAGAAGTGTAAAGAAAGGATTACTGTCGGGTCTTATTTAGACACAACCTGTTGAGTCAAAGTATGGTTATTAACTCATGACAGTGTCTTACTTTGGCTTCTGTGCTTTCAGACGTCTCAAGTTGGAGCATGTAGTCAAGTTCTTTGAGGTAGTGATGTCTTTCGTACCCACTTTTCCAAGTGACGTTGACGGCCTCCGGTGTTTCCTGCACCTCAGGTTGATGCGGTGGCGTCAGCTGGACTGATCACAGATGTGTAAACCAACACAGGCATCAGCACACGTGTGAGCCACCCACAGGCACACACTTCATCACTTGTTGATCACAATGAATCCATGCTTACTGTTCAGATGTGGTGTAAATCCCTTTGTTACAGTGTAACAGACAGACGAATGGCAAAGTGTTATGTCATATTTATTATAATTTGCGAAGGTGTTTCTACTATGTATTTTGCAGAAACAGCTGTAGCTGTCATTCATCCTCCGAAGCGGACAGGATTCCCCTTTGCCTGGACCCACACTAGCAGAAAGAAGAAATGAATTGGCTTGAATCGTTGAATTTTCATGCTTTCATATGGTGCAGGAAATGAAATTACCTTTTGAATGTCAGGTTGTAGATGGTGTTGGACTCAACAGGATCACCAGTGATGTTCAAGAAACAAGAAATTGTGTCCCAATAGGCCGTCACGCACAAGAATCCACCAACTGCAACATGGAGGTGGGAGGAAATGATCATTGCCGTGTACATTGTGACTGTGATTTCTTTTGACAATTGCAAAACCAAAATCACTTAAAACATATTTAATTGATTTATTTAAAGAGCGAATGATCAAGGGGTGAAATAAGTATTCAGGTCCTTCACTTAAGCAAACATACGTTGTGTTATTAGATTGTGCTACACCAAAAAATAATCCATAAAAGACAATGATCGGACCTCTTCAGACCCAGCAACCCAATCGTAGGTTGTGAGGGTAAGTATCTCATTGCGGGTAAACTCACAGATAATCTATATAATGGACAATAATAATAATGGAGAATATCTAATAAAAATAATGGAGTAAAATATAAAACAACTCTCTTATTGTATAACAGAAGAAATGCTAAATAACATTGAAGTACTTAAATGATATTACTGAACTGTTAATCACAGAAAGAGAACAGATACATTTACTTGACATCTTCTCTAAGCTTCCTACTGGGGGTCGACGGCAAGACGTGAGCCCAATTAATAATGCGAAAGGAAAGCGTTTCACCGTGTGAAGACGCACGACCACATTTCTAAAGCATTTCCCACAGAAGAAGTTGAGGGCAAAACGTGTGCGTGTCGAGTCAGAGGAGCTGCACCTGCGATGCAGCGCGTGAGTTCTGGGATGCTGGAGCAGCACCACAGCAACAGGAGCTGCTGACACTTCATGGCTGCATGTCACCTTTGTGGAGAGGAATGAAACCTTCTGTAGGACATTTATCATTCCAGTCCAGGACAACATGAATTTATCTTCCTGTTAAATACACTCATGATAGGCATACAACACAATCAGAAATATAATACAACTAAAATATACATTAGTTGAGTAAAGACAAGAACATCATTAGTTGCCGTGTGTGTGATGAGGAGAGGAAGGTGCTGTTACCTCTGAGACTCCTCCGGTGCTGCTGATGTCTCAGACAGTGAATGACGGACGGAACGAAGTTTAAACTTATCAATGGTTACATCACGGGAAGTCAAACCTCATTCGTCATGGTGGTTTTTTTCTTTAACCTTTTGGTTTTCGGCACCAGCTCTTGGTTTTTGTCGCCGTGTGTCACTATTTCTATTTGATTTGAAGGGTGCCCTTTGTGATTAATACAACGCAAACGCGTACACCTTTCTTGTTACTCCAGGCGAGATGTTTTCCCTTACTACTGTTTTGGAATCATGTTTGTGTTGTGATTGAGGTTTTTTTAAGAATCAACCATGTCAGAAGACATTTGTAACTGAGTGCCAGGCTTCGTCTTTACTGGAGGAATAAAAACCATCCTTCAAAAAGGTTTCCTCATTTGGGGTTTTGATGACGGAGGTGGGGAGGAGCGATGTCTAACATCTCCCACCGAGTGGGTTGTCAGCTGGTTCGGGTGACTGTGAAGTGCGCAACACATGATTCTCACCATGGAAGGAAGCGCGTGTATTCATTGGTTTATTCCTTTATTCTGTCAACCGTCTTCATTTACTCAGCACACAGACAATAGGGAGAAAAAGCGAACATCCCAATCAACACGAAAACCCAATTAAACGTTTACATTTAAAAGGAAATAAATTAAAAGTCATATTCTCTTCGCAGTAAACACTAGACGAATAAATCCCAAAGAGCTTTACAGATGACGCAATAAACAAAGGATCAGAACAACAACAGTAAGCCTGACGTACAGTTCTTCTTCTTCTATATAGACTTGCAACCGGGGGCGCAGTGGAGTCTATGACGAAGGAGGTCGGACTCCAATGGCAACAATAAAGCAATCACTTAATCACTAAATGTGCAACATCTTCTCAAAGTAAAAGCCGGATCAGATCTCAAGTCTGTGCCACCATCCTCGTGGGCAAATACTTGGGGAGACTCTCATCCCATCGGGGGACCTGACACTGGTGATTTGGACCCTTTCAGAGCAACCTGGAAATCTTTCAAAAGAGGTCTTCATCTCCCAATACAACAGTAACATATACAAGATATATAAGAGAGGAATTGAGCTTGCAAGCTGAAATGTCTTTATTGCCATTATGCTATAAACCCCCAAATAACCAAAAATTCACAGCTGCAGTTTTTTAAAGTTGTATGCATTTAGTCAAAGGCACAAAGTCTCTTCAGGCTTTCAGCTTTCTGAGTGCTGCCTATTATATTTAAAAACTCCAAAGTGCTGTATTTCTGTTGTTTTCTTTTAAGTTACGTCACTTGTTCAACCTTCACTGTGCAGAGACGTACATGTGAAGGCTATTTCCTGCTCTTCCTGCTCTATGTTGACTTATTTCATTCACAAGACCTTTAATCTATCATTAATTAATAGCAGATTGGCATCGGCTGATTGAATTGTTTTCTCATGGGTACAAATTGTGAAAATGTCCTCAAAGCGTGCTCTTCTCACTGACAAAGTCAAAACAGGATGGACGTGGCAGAGGTTACTGAGAAAACACCAGTCGGAAAAAGAGACATTATCTGACATCTTGATAAGGCAGCGAGCATTCTGGTGCCGCGGTACAGACTAATGACTCATTTATGACCTTAATCATAGGAAGCTGTACATACAGTGACAAAGATAACCCCAAAAACACCATCTCCACACGTCCACGCTGAAATGACTGATTACTGACTCTGCTGGTTTAGCTAATGTCAACCTGTTATTTTAATAGGGAACTAATTACTGGTGGCCTAATCTGCACGTCATCAACAATAAAAATGTAATTGCTATTTTGGCGCACTGCAATCTCAAAGAACCGCCGTCTCTCTTTCTCCAAACAAATCTCTTTAAAAGAAAAAAAAATGTTTTAAAAACAAGGAAATCGGACAACACACACAGTACAACATGCACAAATAAAACAATTCAAGTTTAACGCGATACAGATCAGCCAATCAGCCGTGGCGACCACGGCGCTTCACGGAGTGTCGGGCCCTGGGCTGCCGAGGTCTTCTTGAACGGTGCCACGCGCCATCCACTGCTTGACGTAGTTAGAACTCAAGCTTTTGTGGTCATGAAATGAATCAGAGTGCATCTGGTCCGCCGCGTTCGAGTCCGAGGCCCCGGGGACGACGCACTCCCCGAAGCCGCTGTCAATAGTGTCCAAGTCCACCCGCGGGTAGCCGTCTTCTGACAGTTCGTTGGAGACGAACGAGTCCAGCGACACCCTCTCCGGTTCGACCGGATGGAAGTTCATACCTTCGACCAAACGGTCGTTCAATATTTGGTTCTCGTGTTGCGGTAACGCGCCGCTTTGCCTGAGGGGCCCCTCCAGACGTCCCGCGTGGTCCTCCTCGAACTCCTCCTCTCCGGACAGAGTCACGGTGTGGATGGAGATGTGCCCGCTGGAGCGTCCGGCGCCCTGCGAGCTGCCCCCGTCCTGGAAGAACAGCAGCGGGTTGCTGTGAGGCTGCGGCTGGAGGGGGGGGCCGCCCGGTCTCGCCACGTGGTCCTCGCCGCAGCGCCGCTTGTCCCATTGAAGGACGGCGCGCTGCTTCTCGCTTGCCGCCTGCGCGCGCGGGTTGACCTTCAGGTAATCGTGCTCGCTGAACACAGGCTTCACCCACTCCTGCAGCAGGACGAATGCAAAGCATTTAGCTGGAATATTGGTATTAACATTCTTGCAGAGAGAGAGGGATGTATGATTATTAATCACTTTAATATCTGTACGGTGAATGTGGAGCTCGAGCTAGCGGGGTTAGCATAGCATGGAGTGAGGGAGGGGAGACTTTGGTTAAAGTATGCAATAAACAAGATAGGTGGCATGACGTCATTTGTGTTCGTTAGATTTTTTTAGCCTTTGCACAAGTTGGCTGTTTTCTCCGCTTCCAGTCTTTAGGCTAAGCTAAGCCCGCGGCTACATTTAACTTCCCATTGAACTCAATGAGGGGAGAAAAAGCAAACGACGTATAGGGCCTCAGTGAAGAAATAACCTTTTTCAAAAATTGAAGTGCATTCGCCCATCATTATGCACCTTAGCAAAGGAGAGAATCTGCCATTTATTTAAACTTCTCTTCTGTGTGTTTTACGCAGTAATACTGCTAGTTTAAAGAGTAAGACATTATTCCTACCGGATTTTCAGCAGGATGCATCTGAACACACATGTGAAGATTGAACACGTCTTTGCACGTCTAATAATCGGCACAGTGCTGATGGAACGTGAGTACAAGTACAGGAACATATTCCACGTGGTCGGTTCAAACAACAATGCATATCTTCGATGTCTGTCTGAACTTTGTTGTCTTGTATATATTTAGTAAATAACGCTACAAGATTCTAACCTTGCTAATACGTTGCTATTTGTTTGTTTGTTTTAGGGCAACTCTCCCCTCAAACCTGCGAGGCATCACGTTCATGCTACTGAACCTTGTGCAGCAGATAAGCATGGATCTCTTTCTCTTAGCAAAGGCCACCACATCCTGAGGCACCGAGCGCAACATCAACCCATCGTCTCTGCGCCGCTGAGAAAGCGCACCACAAGAGTAAGATAGCGCAGTCAAACTAGAACAATGCTTTCAAAAACAGCCAGTTTCGGTCTGCTGCAGCGATCCCAAAGCTGTGATAATGGAGGGGGAAAAAAAAAAAAACAGCCTCACAAGGTAACATAACTAATAACTTTCCCAGAGACAAAGCGGTACTGCAGGCACGGCGAGTTTGAAGAATTTATCTTAAATTTAAAAAATAACACTTGACGATGGAGGACCGGCGGATAGTTGCCAATTTAGGACTAAACACAAGGGCACGAATGTGATATTTGTCATCGATATATGAAAGAGTTTAATTTTAAAAAGGCAGACATGGTTATCAATGAACCATCTTCTATGTCCTATAATTGATTGATAACGAATGTGACTTTTTTGCCCCAGACATTATCTCATTATGTCTTTTTGTGTTCATAAACAAACATCTGTGCGCCGCACTGTCCTTTTGAATTCAATCAGATGAGCTCAGTTCAGCACATTCTGCAGAGTGAGAAAAGAAAGCACTGCTGACAGCAGTTCTCTCTTGTGCTTCCCTTTAAAATTTGCAGCAGTTGCGCCCTCTGCAAGACCAACATCTGTAACTGCACACAGATGTGAGCTCGAGGTGGTTCACCCAGAAGTAACCGCTAGGGGATTTCTTCTTTTCAAATGTCAGATGAGAATAATTAAGATTAACTTATAGCATCCGTGTATTTTTCAAATTTTTAAACGTATCTACTTTGGTTCATCTGGGCTTCGGATTTGTTGGCCACTTGTGCCAAGCAGATACCCGGTCACTTCGATCGTGTTTAGGGATTTTAAAACGATTGCACACCATACGTATTTCCAGGTGTTTTTAGATAAGACGTTGTGGACATGTTTTACATTTATTTTGAAATGGATTTGGAATTGTACCAGTCCGAGGCCCTGTTGGCTGCATCGTCCTCCGATATCAAAGCCACAATGAAGCCTCTCCATTAGCTTTAACTCTAAATGAGCACACGTGAATAAAGTGGGTGTGCTTCATTGAAAACAACAATCCGCTTACTCTGTTTGTCAATCATTAGGAGGAAGAATTTGAATTAGGGGAAAATATTAAAAAGGGCAGATGGAAAAGACATTAGCATGTTGAACAACAACACGTCTGACATAATGACACCAAGAGATCTAACAGGGGTATTTTCCACCGGGGGGGTAAGAGACACACATATTTACCCACAGCATCTCAGACAGATGAACAACAAAAAGCCTCTTGAAGCCCCTGCACACTGAGTCATTCATATCATGAGGGCCCTTCGGCGCGAGGCCGAGGGAAAGTCCCATCCAGCGGGGTCTAGATGGGCAGAAAGTCCCCCCCCCCCCTGGTGTGTAATTCACACATAAACGCACAAAGACCACATCTGTTTTTGCTCTCTCTTACCTTGAAGTTCCCTCCATAAGCCAGGTGGAGAGGCTGAAAAAACACCTCCGCCTTGGGGATGTATAAAATCCGTTGGAGTTTCTGCTGCCACCACCTGAAACGAATATGAAATGATGTAAGGACAATAATAGAACAACATCTGCGATTGAGTCACTTTTGGCGATGGGGATTTTGTTGACGGTACCTGAGCAAAAGCGTGAAGTTAAAAGATTGTTTTGAGCGTCGTGTCAATGAGTCAGAAATACGCACTTAATAGTGGCGTCTCCGGGTGAGAATTGATATGGTCAGATCTAATTGGTCACTTTGTTGTCATAAAACAAAGATAAGCTCAGTTCAGCACCTTCTGCAGAGTGAGAAAGGAAACAGAAGAACAACTATCGTACAACTATTTCCTTTTCTCTCTCTTGTGCTTCCTGATCCCTGTGATATTTGCAGGAGTTGCGCCCTCTGCAAGACCAACATCTGTAACTGCACACAGATGTGAGCTCGAGTAACCGCTCCTTCTTTTCAAATGTCTGATGAGAGGATCATCACAAAATGATTTTGGGGTAAATCGAAGTGTCCTGAAAAGGTTTATGTCAGCTTAATAAAGAGCATTGCTGTGTTAAAACAAAAAGAAAGAAGCAAGCAGGATATTCTCGTTAGATCTGCGATGGACATTTTAGTTGGTCAGCAACAAACACAACTCAAAGTCATATTTATGTTTAAAGACCGATTACAGAGGCTGAAAAGCCTCCAAGCATCCTAAAAACTAATACAAAGACAAATGTCAAAGGTTTAGTCTCTTGTATTGGACATTCCTGCAATAAATCCTTCCATCAAAGAGGTTTTGATTTTATGATTAAAAAAAAAAAAGAGCTGTTGATTCAATTTCATTGTCATTCAGGAGGCGCTGCGGGCAGATAACAAGGTGTTGTGAGCTCTCGTGCTGATGCTCTGCATGACTTCCTATAGCTGCGACACGTTTCAAGGTACGTTGCAAGCAGCACGTACAGCAGAGCCGTGGTTTCCACGTACGTGGGAGGTGATGCCAGGAAGGCTCAAATCGAAGCAGCGAGACGCTTTGTTAATCATTTACTGGAAGACAAAGCATTTTGCTTGCTTTATTTCAACCTTCGCCAAGTTATTGTTATTATTTTGTTAAATGCACGTGGTTAGAAGTAAGAAAATGTAACCTTTCAATTTGATTTGCACACTTCATTTTCCACACGGCTCAAATACAACTGCGCGTGCTTCAGCGAATAAAAGGAACAGGGTCAAATGTTCAGAATTGTCGAAAGTAAAGTAACTTACGTTTTCTTAAAATAACCGAACAACAGGAGAACAAGGACGAGAGCGACGGACAGGGTGACGTACCACCAAAGTCCATCGAGTCCTGTAAAGGAGACATAACAATCAAATATGTACTGACACAAATTACACGATGAGTACATTTTTAAAAGACATGTGAAGGATAAATGCAGAGAAGTTGTATGATGGTTTGAAGCACGTAAACACAAGATCTTGCTAATTCTGATTTTGATTATTTTATTATTTATTTATGGCTGCAGGACAGAAGTGACGTGTCCGTTCCACCTTCACGCGCTCCTCCGGTCCTCCAGCGCACAGTGGAACTCCACTCGCTCCACGGGCCCCTGTTGGGATGCCCGGGACACATCCTGGCCTGCACGTCTACGACGTAGCTGACGCGTGGCTGCAGGCGGTTGTGGTCGAGCGCAACGTTCTTCTCCGTCACTTTAAGGGAATAAACTGGATTCTGTGAGAAAGGAAACAAGCAGAAAACCTTTGGCCGGGTGTCGGGAGCAGGTACGACGGCGAGCGGCTGCGGCGGCCTCTCGCTCGTGTTCTCGTGTCCCTGCTCGCACGTCACCTTGGACGGGTCCCTGTTGTCTCTTATGCGGACCATGTATGTGAGACAGTCGCTGGCGCCGTGGTCCCAGGTGATGTTGTACGACCCGCCGGTGTCTGTCACTCGAACATTCACAGGAGACGACGGTTTCACTGTGAAAGTAAAGTCCCGGATGGGGGGGGTGGGGCATTATGAAAGTGAAAATAAGTGCATTCCAGCCGCAACAGCCCGTCGGACTCTATTTTTAGCTTTTTGTCTCAGTCTGGAGGGTGAAGCAGGTGGTCGGGGCGTTTGCTGCCAAACGACCACCGAAGCATGCTGGGAAAGTTTGTCAGTATGATTCTTCAAAACAGAAGCCGTTTGACTGCACAGTAAAATAAAATATGTAAAATATGCACGCTGGAATAATCAAAACAACGTCCTGTAAATCATTTCTAGACGCTTTTCAATGTGACTGAAACAGCAGGTGTTTGATGACGAAGAAATAAAATGTCCAAAAACATTCACTGCCATCAGTGCAGCTTACCCACATCACCCAGTATCCAGTGGGTGGGCGCGCTGGCCGTCTCCTGGTCACGCTGGGCACCGGCCGTGGCGGTACACTCGGTGTCAAAGAACAAAACGTCATCCAGCTTCTCCGGGTACATTACGCACCAGGATTGAGGTGGTTTGACTTCACAGCTTCCGTTAACCACAGTTTCTTCTATACTGTAACAGAAGGATGTAAAATGCGTTTATCATCAGTAGCAATCGGTGTGACTTCCGATGACGTCTCAGCACCAGCGGCGGTGGTTTCCACGGGATCGCTCGAGAGACGGACTGTGACGCGCTCCATTTTACGTCGCGCATTTAGTGCAAAAATATGGCAGAAAGACAAAATCATGACAGAATCCTGTGTCTGTTTGTTTCATAGAGGTGAAATGTCTTTTTTTCACGTTAGCAGCCCCTCTCCAAGTAGCTTAGAAACACAAGTAAATTCAAGTCAACAAAACTAATTCAGAGGAGGAGGAGGAGGAGGGGGACAAACAGCTGGGCCACCGACCTTTGATCAACAGCTAGCGGGGCCCCAGATGAAGCCACGCGACATACAGATGACATAAAGCTTATAAAGATAACATAGAGCGAGGCTCCGGGCGGCTCGTACCTGCACGAGACCGTGATGGAGCCGGAAAACGTCGGCACCGAGCAGGAACAGTTCAGAGAATCTTTGAAGTCGGTTGAGCAGGTGACGTGGCGCGAAGACGTGACTGCGGCACAGACAAAGAAGGTCACTTCTGATTGTGTTTGGCATATTTAACATTAAGTAAAGAAGGCAATCCATTCTATTACACTGCGTGTGTGTCCGCTCAAAGTGAAACCTGGCCAAAAGGGCCAAAACGTACAAGGGGTTTAAAAAAAAAAAAACGAACTTAAACGCAGTACATGAATGTGGGGAATTACCTTTAAAATACCGACGAGCCCACATAAGACACGAGAGGCTTACTCACCGCCCTGGGGAAACAAAGCGAGGTCCCACAGCAGCAATAAGAGCCCCGCTTTGACAGCCATGGGGACGACCCGCTGCTGAGAGGGAAACCAGCTAAATACAGGCATACGATCTACTTCTGTAGTAAAAAGTAATAATAATGTCAGCTAATCTAAAGAGTCGATCGTCTTACCTCCTTTCTGTGGAAAAGGCTGCCACTCAATCAGCCGGCCGCGGTAACAGAGGCGACGAAGCACTGACGCCTGTGTGAGAGCGTTGGGTGGAACATTACATCGGTTTGCGACTGCGAAGGCGTCGTCGTCATCATCATCATCGCTATCATCATCACCATCGGTGGCGCGGCTAAGGATGTGGTTTCAGACCTGTTTGTTCTTGTGTCTGTGTGGTGCCTACCCGCCACATCCACACTGCTCCTCTGAGTGTGCAACAGTTAACCAGAGAGCCCCAAGAAGGTCAACAGGAAACTAACGTCTTCGAATAAATGTATGTCATCCTATTTTGCAGGAAGACGAACGAAGAAAAACAAGATGATTAAAAAAGAAGATAACACAGATCTGGACTGAGATATTTCTTTCTTCCCCGAATAGTTCTACTGAAAGTCACAATCACATCACACATTAACTCGCGCACATCGTTAAAAACTAATGCTCGTTTCATGAATGAGATTCTGAACGAATGATGAGGTTCAATAAACCACCTTCGTGTCTGCAGTTATAAGCCGTGTGCTGTGTAGGCTGCGCGCTTAAGGACGCGTTCGTCGACCGCATACGTCACTTCCGCAGTGCCGGTCCCGGTCCCGCCGGCTCCTCCGAACGCGGTCGAGGGACGCAGCCCTCCAGGAGCCGTCGTGTCCCAGCATGCAGTGCGGTGCGACGAGTTTATTCAGGACGGAGGCGGGTGATCCGACAGCGCGGAAGAGTTCACTTTCTTTTTAAATGTAACGTTAAGTAATAGAATTCACTCGAATATCTACCGATAGAAATGTTTTAATATAATATAGTATATAACATCACACCTTAGTTTATGAAATCAGTCAAGTTACGCGACGTTGGTAACCGATATTCTGTTCGATAACAGTCCTTGCATACAGGTTAATAAATGTCTTTGCTGTTGTGTTTTTTATCAACATTAATAGAATCTCCTTTGCCTTAAGATTTCAATATTACTTTTAGCTGAAAGTCATTTAAAATTAGTATTAAATTTAGTATTATACATTAACTGATTTAATTTGAATTTAAAATAACCGTGAAATGTTTGTTTCTGCTGCGTAGGAGGATCTTTTTAAATTAAATGTAATAAATTATTGTTACGCTCAGCAGGTTGCTAGGCAACAGGAGCAGCCGGAGGTAATGCTGATGACGCAGGCAGGAAGTCCCCCCGTAGGCCGTCTAATCTCAGAGACCGCTCGGGACCAGCCCAGGTCTACAGCGAAGGCTGCTGGAGGCTACAAGGATGCAGCCTAGTGACTTTGAGACACAGCTGTAGTTGTTCAGGGGTTTTCAATAGTTTCCACCTGCTAAATGAGTCATTTGTCCTGCTGTGGAGCCCCGCACAACTGGCTTTTAATAACTAAATTATGTCCAGCGCCTGTAGAGTTCAGGACAAAAATCACCACTCATATGTGTGTTAACGTCCATTGAAACCATTCCACCTGTTTCGTACAATGGGGCCGTGATGCTGTTCAAATCCCCGATTAGGTGGGCAGACACGTCTTGTACAGACATTACTCAGAGCCAAAGGCCATTCTATCACACCGAAACGAAGCAAAGCTGCAAAGCTGCACGCACTCTGAGAGGATGTTCCTGCCGTTGCTCTTTAAAAAAAACACCAGCTGCAGCAATGAGTCAACTATCCAAAAGAAAAGTAATGTACGACTATTCTTATAGTAAGATACCCCTTTAATAAGGTTCAACTTAATGTTATGGCATAGTTTTGGTCATTAAAAGGGAGATTTCTTTGCTGTTTCTGTTACATTCAAAACACACACAGTAGTGATGATGGTTTGCACGGATATTCTTCGCCCGTTGTGCCGGCTCACTAGTGACATTTATTTTTAAATTGAATTCGTTTAAAGCCCTTTTATTGCGTTATTCACTTCCTTGGTGAACAGTTTGTAAAATCTCTTCACGCAATACTGTGTTAACATGGATATGTAATCTCACCATACAGTGTTAACATGCATATGTAATCTCACCATACAGTGTTAACATGGATATGTAATCTCACCATACTGTGTTAACACGGATATGTAATCTCACCATTTCATTCAGCATTTATTATTAATCGTGTGCAAAAAGGTCAAATGCAGAATAAAATCAACACACAAAGGTAATACAAGACTACAGACACTTTGTATATACGTATTACGTACGCATATTATGGAAACAGTGTGTTGTGTGAGTGACAATCTACCTTTATTTAATCGATTCCTCCTCTCCTCACACGTCCCATCGGCAGGTTACTGCGGTTTCACGGTGTTGACGGCCATCTTGGCGCTCTGCAAAGCGCGATGCAGACGTTACAAGACAGAAGAAAGAGTGTTGCTGATTGATAAGAGAACGGTGTAGTCATGGGAGGGGGAAGTGGGCCATGTCATACAGAGAACTTATTACTCACTATATAGGTTGAAAGGTGTTACACGCCAGCAATAGGATACTTGTAAATCTACATAATGCATTAAAAGTACACTTAGTTTTAATAAAACTACAAGATAAAATAAAACAGCACAGAGAAACATCATACAAGACAAAGAATATCAGTGATGCCACTAGCCTTCAAAATGAATTGAGTTAACAACACAGCGCATTTTAGTTTAGGGAAATAAGCAGTGATACTTGCTGGGAAACTGTTTCATTTTCACATCATTATCCGAATAACTTGTGACTCGATTTGTAAATAGATCACAGGAACCGGTCAGATTTTAAACCCATAAATTCCCTTTCAGTTTGCTCCAACCTGATATATTGAATTCATAGACATTTTTAAACCCACAGCACCTGCGGGTGGTGAAATCATTGTGGTGTCCTTTATTCAGAGACCTGCCAGTGAAGCTCTGCTCTGCTCACTCACTGAAAGAGGCGATCCAATGAAGAGGATATCAAATCTAAGCCTTTTGACTGGTTAAAATAAACCAACCCATCGTGTTTCAGGTTAATAATGTATTGAGAGGCAACAAATGTCTGTTGGTAATCTAAGATGCATGACTTCTCCCCCTGAAACTAATGCAATATGAATCACAATTTCAGATTTGAAATACTACACATATTTTGGTTAACTGCCCGTGGGAGTGCACGTAGAGATTGTAAAGACATATTTAAAAATGAGCGGTGAAAAATAGATGCAGGTTGTCAGGCCTTAAAGGATTTTGGTCGATGTATCCTATTGACATTCTTATAGGGTACATCCTATTTATAGCAGTAACCATCCATGCTGAGAGCTCTGTGTTAGTTATTCAAAATGAAATATGTGTAGTAATTCCCCAAAAGACATTTCGAATTGAACAAATCTCGGAGAAAATGACTATATATGTATATTCTGCTATATAGCAAACAGAATAAAATACAAGCGTTTCCACTTCAGTCGTGTGAGGGGCAGAGCATTTCATTGTGGGATCTTCTCCACTGGAGGGCAAGTATAGATTTTGTTGTTTCCCTGAAAGCAAAAGCATTCCCATATATTTGGAACATCAATCCAGACTACGTCGGGCTGGTACATTTAGAGTCTAGTTACTAGTCTCTTTTCATCTCTGGTTTTTCATAGCCCTGTGCATCAGCAGTTTCGACCCCATGCGTAACTCAATATGTCATGGAGTGACGTGCAGTTAGCTGCCAAACAATGTCAAAACTTTCTCCCAGTGCTGTGTAAGGGCGTGTATGTGTCTGTGTCTGTATGTGTGTGTGTGCGTGTGTGTGATCTTTCCATTTCCCTTCATTCATGACCTCCACATGTTTTTGTTAAAGGGTTTTCCTCTTGTAGTTAAATGTATTTTGGGGGGGGGGGGGGGGGGTCATTTTCCCTGCACTCCATTCTCTGTGCAAAGAAAACATGATTATGAGTGAGAACAACAAAAAAAGAATCCCTTGGTTTGAAAGTTCTCTGGCAGTTATGCACTAATCAACACTGTGGCTACATGTTTGCTTCTGATAAACAAAAGAACAGAAAGTACACTAATTATAAAGAGTCCAAGAACTGTTACCACTTGCATGCTTGTGACCTTTCGCCAGTTTTTTGCCATATCTCAGTTCCTGGAGGGCGGTGTAGGTGTTTTGGGGGGGGGGGTGGGGGGGGGGGGGCGCTTTGGTCTTTTGAGTGGAGGCGGCTGAAGCAGCTCTCCCCAGGTGGAGGAGGGGGCTTTGTCCCTCTCGGGGGGCTTCGGGCTCTCGTCGAGTTGTTCTGTGAAGTGACCCGCGCACTGAAGCAAAGTGGTGGAGGTGTCTCTACTGCGAGGGTGGCGGGGGCGGAGCTGCGCTCACATGCTCAGAGGTGGTGGTGGTGATCGTAGGGGGTGCAGAAGTTGACTGTGTGTGTGGTTTGGGTGGGGTGGGGGTGGCGGGGCGTTGTATTTTGGTTGAAGATATGCAGTGTTGTATGCAGCTGTGCGTGTGCTTGTCCATGTCTGAGTGAATAAGGGGGGGAAGGGGCAGCGGGGGGCGAAAGGGGGGGGGTGGGGTGGGGGGGAGTTCAGGTTAAGAAGTGTTGAAGCATAAAATCCCCCCCACCCCCTCGACCCTCTGTTGCTGGGCCAGACGCAGAGCAACAGCAATTTGTGCGATTTCACAGCTCACCGGATCCCTAAAACTCTGACAGCCTTGCGCTGTGGTGGTGGTGGTGGTGGTGGTGTGGGGGTAATGAAGGAGGGGGGTAGTGCAGAGAGGGGGGCGATGGAGCGTTAGGCGGTGGAGTGAGAGTTGAAGATGGACAGATTAAGCGGCAGAGACGGGGAGCAGATGTGGAGCAGATGTCCGTCATCCACCTCGAGGAACTTCTTCTGACGACCACGAGTCACCGATGCTCCACTTCATCCGCCTTCCGACGCCGTCCGCTCACTCAGAGACGTGTGACTCGATCAGAGCTTTCTCTGGCCAAGGAATTGAAGCGTTCACCGGCTTTCAAGGCCGCGGGCTCGAGTCCGATTAGCCGGCGGGTGTTATGAAACGGGCCGCCTCAGAGACGATGAACAGTTTATCAAACATTACAGATTTCACTGTAGTGCATATGCGATGCATTTGGTTGAGCCAAAAGAAGAGAATGACTACAAACCGACTTAAAAACGTAGATAATGATTTGAACGCAGTTCTTATTTTGCATGTATGTATTTCCATTACATTTTAATCACAGAATTAAGCGTTTGTCTTTTTCCCAAAAACTCCAAAACACCATTTTCTTTAAATTCCAGATGGTCGTTTTACAGCAAGACATCAACAGATACTCCCAGAATCTTCTAAGCATCAGCATAAAATGCTGCTTAATAATAAAAATGTACTCGGAATTGCAGGAAAATAAGATGGAAAAAAGGGCAATAAATAATGAGAAACAATAACTTGATAGCTCCAGATAATGAATTACCATTTTGTGATCATTAAATTCACTATTTTAGATCCGTAGGTCCTGGAATCAGGATTCTGACTTATAAGAAACCTTAACAATAGTTGCAACAATGTTGTAAATTGTTGTACAATGCAATCAAACATTTTGTTGATCAATTTCCTTTTCCACCGATCTTATCTTCTCGGGAGAAGCCCACCAGAGACAGCCCTAAAATAAAAAATAATCATCTAAACACCTAATCTCCCGTTAGGATTATTCTCAGAAGATCTGTGTGGGTCTTTACTGATTGAAAGTAATCTTGGACTGTGCCCCCTAGA